TGGCTGCACGTTGGTTGCAGATCTTCCAGTTCTGTGGTGGGCACATGTGCGCGTTCATTATTCCAGCGTTGCTTTTTGAATATTTGCTTTATTTGGGCAGCGTGTAGGCTCTGGGGTTGGAATGTGGTCAAGTCCAGCGCAGCGGCCCCGACAGTGTTCTAAGTGCTAGGGGCAGGGGGTGCCCCAACGGGCTTTGCAGGGAAGGTGGGTGGGGGTGGAAGGGGCACGGGCAGCTGCACCCCCAGCCTAGGGTGTTGAATTAACCTGCACAGTGGGCAGCAGGGGGTCTAAATGCAGTCTTGAGGCTGTGGGAGAAGCCACGGAAAGATCCGGGCAGAGCAGTACCATGTTCACACTCGCGTTTCGAGTCCTCAGTGGGCCTCGCGTGGGTGGTGAACCCGAGGGACCAGGCTGGGAGCTGCCCTGAGGCAGGGACAGAGTCAGACAGGGTTCCTGCATTGCTGGGCAAGTGAGCTGCTGGACGGAGCACCCTCCGCCAGGCCAGGGGATGCGGGAGGGGGAGGAAGTTTCTGGAAGGGAGTGGAAGAGTAGAAAAGACAGGTTTAGATTTAGAAGGTGGGGCATGAGGCACTCATGGGACATACATGTGGCTCATCAGATATAGTCCGGGGGGTCTGTGATGTGGGAGAGTGCTCAGGGTGAAATGACAGAGGGGCCTGCCTTCCCCTGTGCCCGCAAGACTGGCCCTAGTTTGCTCTTGTGTTTTCTGTTAAAGAAGGGGTTGGTTGCTGCGCACTTTCATCCCCCGTGGTAGTGGTTCCCTGGGGGACGTTGGCCGATGTCTGGCAGTGTTGGGGGTGCCACTGCACTAGTAGGTGGAGCCCAGGGACGCTGCCCAGCATCCTGCGGTGCCCAGGGTGGCCCCACCACAAAGAGGTGCTGGTGGTGCCCAGTGAGGAGCCCTGGTCCAGGGAAGCCTCCAGGGCGTTTTGTAGTTTTCAGTATTTTCTGTCCTTCAGGTACTGGTCTGTTCCAGAAGAATATTTCCCTCAGAAGTTTGCTAAAAGAGGGTGTCAGAGTGTTACTTTATAAGGAAAAAGGTGACTCCCATGAGCCTTGGTCACTGCTCCCTCCACGGACAGGGTCACCATCAGCCTGGAAACAGTGGTGATGAGTAAGAGCCTGCGGGCGATTCCACCCACGCACGCAGAGGACGGCTGGTGAGCGCCAGTCTGAGCGCGGAGTCAGCAAGGGGGTGCCTTCTGTGTGGCAGGTGTTGGCCCGAAACAGGCGGGCAGCTGCCCCGATAAGGGGACGTTCTCCGTCCTTGGACCAGCACATGCCCTGCCCCCTCCCAGCCCCCGGCTGTGTCTAGTGAGTTCTGTCTGGGTGTGTTGCTGGTATCAACTTGGCCACTGGCCGGGCTCAGTCTACACGGGAAGTAGCCTTTCTTCAAGCAGCCCCAGCGACCTCCCCTGCACTGCGTGCTCTTTTACAGGAGACCTTTACTTTTTTATCTGGTCTCACAGGCAGTGCAAGATTATGCAAAATGCAAGCAAACATTTGAGAAGTGTTAATATTACGTAGAAAATGAAAGTGCCCCCAAATTCCCACCAACAACTCTTTGCAAGACATTCCTCCATCATTTTTCTATGCATTCACTCATTAATTGTTGTTCCTGGTCGTACTTCGGTGTGTTCACACCACATATGCTGCTGTGCGTGGAGGCCTCTCCGTGCCCGCACGTGTAGGTTGACTGGCGTGGGGGTGTCATTTTACCCTTCTAGGACCATCGGTGGCCCCGCTGTTGCCCCGTGAACTGACCTTGGGGCAGAGGGTGCGCTCGTTGACTGATAGAAGCCGGGTCACGTTTCCCGTGTCCCTCGTGAGTTGCTGCCCATTTTCTTAGATGCCTGGTGGAGTTCTTTGCCTCCTCACTAGAAAGAAGAGTTTTGAAGAATGGGGCGCAGTGCTCCTGACGTGCAGATACGAAGTGAACTGGAAAATCAGTGAGTGTTGCCCCATTGGAGGCGTTCACCCTGCAGGGCAGCGCAGCGTCGGGTCTCAGTGGTGGGCCTCGATTTAGCACAGGAGGGGGCAGGAGACCGAGGGAGAGACTGTCTAGCCTTCATCTCCGTCTCCACCCTCTGACGAGACAGGCAGCCACCATTTGTGAGCACCTGTTTCGTGCTTGAATCCTTCTCACCCCTTATCTTGTTTTAGCTTTCCGAAGTCCCTGTTGGCATGACGCTGTCATCCCCATGTATAGTCGTGAAGTCCAGGCTCCGCTGCCCGCCCAGTAAGGTGGCGGTAGCAGACGGAGGCAGGATGGGACCGTCCTCCACCCCAGGTCCATCATTCATCGAGTCCTGCTTATTGAGCATATTTTTGTTTTTCTTCTCACCCCAAGGAGCAGATAAAGCTTTTGGTAGGCCGAATGTAGCAGAAGATATGTGGGTTCATCCCGGAATTCCTCTTTTGTGATTGTTCCTTGTCCCCCTGCACGTGTTCAGTTGTTCAGGAGCAGACCCGAGTCAGATCAGGTGTCTCCTTCCAAGCTCCGTCTCACCGGAGTGAAGCCTCACCAGTGGCGTAGTCGCAGCCCCTCCGTGAGGCCTCCATCCCTCCCACCTCCCTGGCCTCCTGCTTCTGTCCCAGGCCAACCCTGGACGGCTTCCCTGGCCTCCTCCCAGGCTCTGCTCCGACCCTAGTCCTTCCCCAGCGTCTCCCGGCTGCACTGTGCATGCTCCTCCGCACTCGCTCTGACATCACTATGACTTACTCCTTCTGCCGTCAACTCCCCGAGTGGAGTCTGTGCCGGGAACAGTGTCGGGTGCCCGTGGGTGTCCGAGCAGCACTGGAGGGTGCGTGAGCAGAGGCCAGGGGTGTCTCAGAGACGTGGTCCTGTCACTGCCGCTGGAGACGTAACAGACTCATGACACAGCTCACGGGACCGCGTGGGGACCGCACAGCTTCGCGCTGTCAGACCCTGGCGCAGTGTGGTGCAGGGCGGCCGACATCTGTCACTTCCTGCTTGGGTTCTTCGAGTCTGTCAAACTGTGAATGAGCAGGACTAGGAATTACTAGTCTGTAGACTCTTTTCAGTGAGTTTTCCTCTGAGTCATTCGTCACTTTTAGTAATCTAATGGCATCATATGTGACTATTGTCTTTGTCTGTGGTACAGTTTCTTAAACCAGTCAATTGTTTGTTTGAATATTGAGAGACTTACATTACTCCCAACTATTGTATGCATTGAGGCCTATTGTAATTCCCTGTCAGCTGTTTCTCCTCAGCCAGTCGTGACTGTGATGATCACCCAGAGGTGCTGAGACCTGACGTTTACTCTCTGTGGTCTAGGATCCTGTATGAGCTGCTTGATCAGCAAGCGGCCCATCCCTGGCTCAGTCTGTCAACATTGTTGAACTGCCGCCATGAGCCTGGCCGAGTGCCCGAGGCCGGAGATGCACAGACACCTTCCCTGAGCTCAGGTCTTGTGGGAGAGGAAGTCAGGTGCAGTGGAGGGCGTGGCGTGCTGGGGTTACGTCGATGCTGGACTCGGGGGCGCCTCAGGAAGTGAGGAGGACGTTAAGAAGGGCTCTGAGAGCTGGCGGTGGGGAAGCCCGCTGGTGTGCCTGTGTCCAGGATGCCCCGCGGGGTCCTCGAGGCTGTCCTGTGCTCACGCTGACTACCAGAGGAGAAGGGAGGAGATGGGAGGGCACAGCCTGCAGCTGCGGGGCGCTAAGGGAGGGGAGAATAAGCCTAGAAGACAGGACGCCCAGGAGAGAGGGTGGACGCCCAGGAGGGAGGAGGGCTTTACTGAGCGAGGGTCTGCCCAGCCTCACCTGCTCCGGGTGAGGAGTGCCTGAGGGTGGACCCTGAGCAGCCCCTCCTCCCCTACCCGACACCCTGTGCCCATGACCCATGAGCAGGGCATGACGGGCGCCGAGACACTGCCTGAGACCATGCTGCCCTTTGAGGCTGCTTCTGACTCCTTTGCAAGAGTACCTGTTCCTCCTCCACCTCCTCCTCGACACCACCCGTGGGCCCCTCTGGGGACGGCCCTGCCCTCAGCCTCTCCTGGCTGGGGAAGTAGTCAGAGCCCGTCCAGACTCTGCCTTCCCAGGGTCTTATAGCTTGATTTCCATAGGCAGCAACTTCAAAAATGATGTAAAGTTACTACAAGTGTTACAGCAGTATTCTATTTCATCTTGCTATTACAAAAATATAGTACTTTAGCAGGATTGCAGGTTTTATAGCCAAGCTAGGACCTAACCACAAATTATACTGTTCTTCTATGTAAAAATAGATGGTAAATCCCTAACAGCAGTTCACGAATGGGCTTTTGGAACAAAGCCCATTCAGACGGGGGCTCGTTGTCTTCCGTCTTCTTTGCTTCCCGATTCCTGGGCTCTCCTTGGCGAGTCCCTCAGGCCCACGGGTTCAGTTACGAGCTGTCGTCTCACGGCTCCCACGGCTGTGTTTGTGTCCACTCTCCCTGGAGGCCTCACCTGGAGGCGTCTGCAGGCCTGTAATTACAGCTGTCCCCCAACATGTCCCGGGCGGCTCCTCCTGGGTTTCCCACAGTAGAGAATGTCCGGTGCTGCATCCCCTCGGTCCATTCAAGTCTACCCTTTCTCCTCCTGCATCCGATCAGCCCCACCTAGGCCTTTCCAGAGCCCCCTGCCCGCTCCCGGCCCCGGCCTCGGTGTGGGCCTGACCCACATGCACACTCAGTGGTCCTGGTGCTGGTTGTCCCCGGTATAGTTCTGTGCCTCTTTCCCACTTGGATCGCTGAGCTAGACTGAAGACAGACACTGGGTCTTGAACATCTTTCCCCGTATTTAGCACAGTAGCTGGCTCAGGAGAGTCCGAATTTGCTGCTGGAATGGCTAAGCAAATGGTTGGAAAAGTTGCACCTACATTGGTGACTCTGTTGGATAAAACGCCCCATCTTCTGATGACATTGAGTTTCCCAAATTTATTTAGCTCTGAATTAAAAAATTACAAATAACTCTCCCTTTTACTTTTGGATTTCTAGTGAGAATGTTAAAGCAGGATGTCCCAGCATTTTGGGGTTGGACGTCTTGTGTTCGTGGGAATTCGAATGAATCCATGTGACGTAGGATGTGGTGTCTTTGCAGATGCCTGCTCGGTGCCGGTCTCTGAGATCATCACTGTTGAAGAGAAGGACATTCACGGGAAGCACTCCACCAGCGGAAAATGGCAGAAAATGGAGAGGCTTTTCGCTTTCACGGGTAATACAGCCTAACTGTCTTCTCCCCCAGTTTTCCGTGCAGATTACACAAGGGAGAACTTATCTGTCACTTGTTTAACAAGCTCAGTGTCTCCCTGGTTTATCCTTATAGAAACTGCCTTATATCATTTTTCCAAGATCTACTTTTAATTAATGTTTTGGTTTTGATCAGCTTTTTTCTTATTTTTTTTATTTTTTTTACATGGGTTAAAAAAACTGAGAATAGGATATTTTTTCTCGTATACCTTGAAAGTTACTAACTAGTCAGAAGAAGAGAGAATGTTGGGACGCTTCAGTTCCGAGCCTGCTGTTGGCGCACATGGCCCGCGTGCCCCCGTTCATGGGAGGTTTGTCCACGGGGTGCGGGCTCTGAGTGACTGCGAGTTCCTTTTCCACAGTGCACTATGTGAAGAGAGCCCGACGGCACCGCTGGAAGTGGGCGAAGGTGACCTTCTGGTGTGCCGACGAGCAGCTGTGTCACCTGTGGCTGCAGACGCTCCGGGACCTGCTGGAGAGGCTGAGTACGTGTGCGTTTTTACATTTGGAGAAAGACAAGAGTGGCGATGCTGCGTGTGCACGCTGTGGAGATCTCCACATCTCCTCCTTGCACACAGCTTCCTGTACCAGGTGGATAGGATCCATCACTGTGGCTTTGCAGAAGTCACTGACCAGAGGACCAGTATAGTGTGGGGCCTAGAGCGCAGCCTCCGGGGCCGGGGTGCTTTCCCCGACCAGCTGCAGACTTGGGCCAGCCCCTCACCTTCTGTTATTTCAGCCACTCCTAATTCCTAATCATGTTATGTATTTTAATGTTTAATTGAAATATCGCATAGATATAGACAAGTGCCCGAATTGACCAGCACCCAGATCAAGAAACAGAAAATTGCCGGCTCCCCAAAGCCCCCTAGGCCCCCTGCAGTCACGGCTCCCCATGGGGTGACTGCTGTCTGGCTTCTAAACCACTGGATCCATTTTGTACCTCCTATAAATCAGATGATGCAGCATAAACTCTTGTGTCTGGCTTTTTGACTCAACGTTATGTTTGTGAAGTTTACCCACGTGTGGTTGTTCATTCTCTTGGCTCCATGGTATTCCGTGGTGTGAATGTAGGACCGTTTGTTCATCTGTTTTCCTGTTGATGTCGTCTAGATAGCTTCCTGCTGGGGGCTATTGCGAATAATGCCATTCTGAACATTATAGGACGTGTCTTGTGGTAAACACATGCTGGCATTTCTCTCGGGTGTGCACCTGGGGATGGAATTGCTGGGTGGACACCCCCACACTGTCTTCCAAAGTGGTAGTTCCAGGGGCACTGCCTGCAGCAGGTGTCGGTTCTGGTTGTCCCACATTTTAACCACACCTTTAAAATTTTAGCCGTTCTGGTGGGTGTCATAATCTTGCATTATAGCTTTAATTGCATTTCCCTGATAGCTAATGAGTTGAGAAATACATTCCTAGGTTTATAGGCCATTTGGAAATCCTCTTTTGTGAGGTGTCTGTTCAGGTCTTTGTCCATTTTCCTGTTGGATTGTCTTTCTTAATGATAGGTAGAACTTCTTTCTCTATTGTGGCCCTGAATCTCTTATTGGATTTAGGAAGCACAGATATCTTCTGCTGTGTGGCTTGCCTTTCTCTCTCTTGTCATTCCATTCTTTTGATGAACAGATATTGTTAATTTTTAATGTACTTCTATTTATCTTTTTTTTAAGTCTATGGTTAGGTTGTGTCCTGTTTAGGACATCTTTGTCTACCCCAAAGCCATGAGGATGTTTTCTTCTCAAAGCTTTGTTTAACCTTTCACACTTAAATCTGCATCCATTTAGAATTGACTTTAGCATGTGTGAGGTAAGCGGTCAAAGTTCATTTTCTCTAATTGTGGATATCCGCTTGACCCCATGCCATTTATGGGAAAGACTGGCCTTTTCCCCACTGCACTGTGGTGTACCATGTTGTTTTTTATTTATTTACTCCTTGTGTCTAGATATTTAATTGAATTTTATATTTCACCTTGTGTCCAATGACCTTGTTAAATTCACTTATTAACTTTAATAGTTTGATGATTCTTTTGTCAACTGTGAATAATGAAAGTTCTGTTTCTTCCATCTCAGTTCATGTGCCTTTTATTTCTATTTCTTATGTTTTTGCCCTGGTTTGGACCTCTAGTGCAGAGGGGACGGTCTTGGTCCTGATCAGGAGAGAGTTTTCAATATTTCACTGTCAAGAATGGTTTTCTTAGGTTTTTTTTTTTTTTTTTTTTTTTTTTTAGATTTTATTTATTGCCCCCAAAGCCCCAGTAGATAGTTGTATGTCACAGCTGCACACCCTTCTAGTCGCTGTATGTGGGACTCGGCCCCAGGATGGACAGAGAAGTGGTGCCTCGATGCGCACCCGGGATCCGAACCCGGGCCGCCAGCATCGCAGCGCGCGCACTTAACCACCAAGCCACAGGGCCGGCCCTTCTTAGGTTTTTAATAGATGTTTAAAAACCAGATTAAGGAAGTTCCTTTCTAATTCTGGTTTTCTGAGAGTTTGTTTTTTTGAATCATGAATGGGTATTGAATTTGATAAATGCTTTTTCTGAATCTATTGGGGTGACTGTGTGATTTTCTTCTTTTTGAGTTAATGTGTTGAAGAACACTGATCTCTCTTTGTATAAATACAAGTCTTTATATTCCTGGAATAAACTCCACTTGTCATGAGGTATTACCCTTCCTATATATTTCTGGATTAGACTTGCTGATATTTTGTTTAGGATTTTCGCGCCTAGGCTCACGGGAGAAATAGGCCTATGAGTTTCCTTTCTGATAACATCCCTGTCTGGTTTTACTGTCAGGCTTACGGTACAGGCCATGTACAAAGAGCTGAGAAGTTCTTCCTTTTCTATTCTATGGAAGAGTTTGTATAATATTGGGGCTACATTTTCCTTAAATATTTGGAAGCATTAATTGGTGAAAGCATCTGGGCTTGGGTTTTCTTTGTGGAAAGCCTTTTATTAATGGCTTTGATTTCTTTATTAGATATCAGACTATTCAGATTTTCTGTGTCTTCTGTTAACTTTGGTAAATTGTATTTTTTGGAGAAATTTGTATATTTCATCCAAATTTACAAATTTATTGGTGTAAATTTATTAATAAATCTTTTCCTTTTCCTTGTAATATTTGTAGATTCTGGAACAATGTCCCCTTTCTCATTCCTGATATCGATAATTTGTGTTTTCTTCCTTTTTCTTTATCAGCTTTATTAGGGATTTATCAATTTTATGAATCTTTTCAAAGAACCAACTTTTGGCTTTGTTGATTTACTCTGTTGTATATTTCCCCCAATGTTTTATTATGAAGATTTTCAAACATACAGAAAAATGGAAAGAATTGTACGGTAAACATTCATGTACCCACCACCTGGATTCTACATTTGTTAACATTTTGCTATATTTACTGTATCGATGTCTGCCTACCCATCCATTAGTTAATCGGATTTTTGCTGCATTTCCAAGTAAGTGGCAGACAAGGGGCACTTCACCTCTGAAGTGCGTGTGTGTCATTAATTAGAGATCAGGATTTGTCTACAGTTCTGAGGTAGAACTTACACACCTGTGAGACTCAAGCCCCTGGAAGACTTACATCACCCAGACGTTTTCTCTGGTCCTTCCAGTCAGTGCAGAGACACCCACCATCTGGTTGTTTTGCTGTTGTTGCCATGTGTTAGTTGCCATGTGTTAGTTTTGCTGGCTCTCCATCTCTGTATACATGGAGTCATGTAACAGGGGCTCTTTCGTGTAAGGCTTCAGTTGCTCCGCATAACGTCTTTGAGATTTACTCATGTTGGTAAGTGTATCAGTAGTTTGTCCCTCTTTGTTACCGAGTGATATTCCGTGGGATATTGTGTATGCAGTCACATTGTGTATGCAGTCGTCAGTTGATGGACATTTGGGACGTTTCCATTTTTTGGCTACTGTGACCATTTGTGGGCAGGATTTTATGTGGACTTAGGTTTTCAATTTTCTTGGGTATATTCCTTCTTTCTACTTTTGTTGATTTGTTAGTTACATTTGTGTTTTTAAGTATCAGAATCTACTTGAACTGACCCAAACAGAAATGTGGAAGTTGTTACAAGAAAATAGGGGCGACTCTGGAGACGCAGGTGTGGGAGTTAGCTGGGGCTCTGGAAGGGACTGGAACCCGGGACTGGGGAGGCCTTCTCATGCCTCGCTGTCTTTCCATCTCTCTGTCCATCTCCAGGCCATGCCCTCTTTGTGCCTGTCCATCTGTCTTTCTCTCCTGATGCTCCCTTCTGTACGTCTGTTTCATTCTTCTTGTTCTCTGCAGACTCACTTCCTTCACATGAAAAATGGGGCTGCTACCCTCCTGAATTTACATCCTATAGAACTCTTCGTCAAGAGAGTGCTTCCCGGTCAGGATTCTGAGTTCCGGGGGCTCTGCTTGTATCTAGCAGATGTGCAGAGCGCCTGTGCATTCTGACAGGCGGTCATTTCTCTCGTTTCATGGATTAGGAAACTCTTTAGCACTGTTCTTTAACTTAAAAATACTTTTTATCAGACAGTACTAAGCAGAATTCTGAAACCACTGTGGTTTTTTGTTGTTTAGTAACACAGTTCTTCCTTTTGATTATTTGTCACCTTCATTATGATTTACACATTGTTGTTTTGTAGCATTGAGACCAAAGCATTTACTGGTGTTCATCAACCCCTTTGGAGGGAAAGGACAGGGCAAGCGGATATACGAAAGGAAAGTGGCACCGTTGTTCGCATTAGCCTCCATCACCACCGACGTAATTGGTAAGCTGTAGATTCTGTATTAAAGTTGGAGAAATAAATATGAGAATGATTCAAATATAGTCACTAGAGACGATTTTTATCCTAGAAGATTATTTTAAACAAAATAGAATGTATTTTCTTTACCTGCTAGAATGAGAATACAAAATAGAGAATGTAGACCTTTCTAGCCGAGTCTTAGCATATAAAGCACCTGAGAAAAGCGCTAAGAAGAAAGAAGGACAAAGACCAAGGACAGAAGATTCTTACAAGAAGAGAGACAAGCGATTAATAAGGCTTAGAAATAATTTCACCAATAAGTGACATTTTAAGAAACAGTGCAACACCACGTTTGTGGCCCGGTTTTCAGTGCAAGTTCTTGAAGCTGGAGGGTGCGGGGCCAGGCCTTCTCTGCCCTAGTGCTTTGAGGGTCTGCTGTAAGCTTATCTTTGAAAGAGCCACTTGGCAGTGCAGGTCAAGAGCCTTAAAAATGAGGGATTTTGCCCAGTATTCCAGTTTCTGAATCTTCCCTCGGAAAACGATCAGACGTTTGCAGAGAAGGATGTACACAGATGTCCACTGCGCAGGTTTCAATAGCAAAACATGGGAAATGAGTTAAATTCCCTCACAGGAAACGTGAGGATAGAATTGGGGTGAATCCGGAGGAGTAGTGTGTAGCCCTTTAAAGCGGTCTTTACAGGGAATTTTTAATGATGAAAAAGTGATTGTGATAAAATGTTGGTGAAACAGGGACACAAAATTGTGTGTACAGTAGGATTTCAATAGTGCTTTTGTTTCTTACATGGAGTACACAGACTAGGGACTAAAATTTTCTTTTTTTCTACATTTTGGTATATTCTAAAATTTTCAAATTACTTAGATAATAGGGAAAAATTATAAAATAGAAGATGTAATCTCTTTCCAAAGTTATTATTTGTTGGCAATTAAATGCCAAGAATGTGCTGTCTTACCCAGTAGAATGTGTTCTGAGAGAGGCCGTTCCATTGAGGCCGGCTCGCTCTCTCTCTGTAAGAGGGATTTGGGGCAGATCGAGGAAGGGATTTCTTATAGGAAATCCTCCTGAAGATTTCACGGGACCTCATTTTAAAAGAATGGTTTATTTGCCTTTTATTTTAAGTAGGATTCACAGATTTGCATATAAAGTGTACAATGTAATGTTATTTTTTCCCCGCAGTTACTGAGCGTGCGAACCATGCCAAGGAGAGTTTATATGAGATCAATCTAGATAAATACGACGGGTGAGTAGGGTTGCTTCATCTCGACTAATGGACAGTAAATTCTACCCCGGTTTTACCGTCTGTCTTAGTTGTGTTTGCTCCCTTTCCTTACGTTTTTTGCCTAGTTGTAGAAGTAAACATGCTTCTTGTAGAAAGTAGAAAAGGCGGGAAAGCTGAGTTAAACCCCTTCTCTGGCATGGAGACCATCGCCCAGGAGATGGTGCTCTCCTGCCTACAGACACAGACGGTTTTTCCCAGTCGTTTGAAAGTATGTTATAGACGTGATCACCTTTGTCCCTAAATATCTCGGTGTCCGTCTCCTAAAAACAAGGCCATTCTCTACAGAACCAGAATACAGTTACCAAAACCAGGTAATTGACACCCATACTGTTATCTGTTTGCCGTCCTTATTCCGATTATGCCAGTTCTCCCGTGATTTCTTTATAGCCAAAGAAAATCCTGGATCCCGCACTGCCTTTGGTTCCGTTGTCATGCCCTCTAGTCTCCCGTAACCTGCGGCAGTTCCCCTGCCCCTCTTGGTGTGGCTGTATTCTGAGAGTCTGGGCCAGTTGCTTTGTAGCATGTCCCCCGGTTTGGGTCTGCCCGACGTCTCCTCTGGCTCAGAACTGGGTTGTGCGTTTCTGGCTGCGGCACCGCGGAAGGGCGTTGTGCGTTCCCACTCGCCACGGCAGACAGCCTCCTCGTGTGATTTTGCGTTTGTGTCGTGTCTGTTCCCGCTGGCACGTTGCTCTTGGAGAGCTGGCCGCCTCTGCCTTGTGCACAGCTGTTCCCCGGCACCTGGCACAGGGCTGGCACGCACAGGCGCTCAGGGAATGAACGGATGGGACTCAGGGACAGGCGGTTGAGCCGTAGGCGGTGAGGATCCATGGACAGCGCATAGATGGAGGCGCTGGAGGATCGGGCTGCATTTCGGAAGGATACCTTTGAAGGCCATGTGGCGAGTAGCGATGAGGTGAGATTGGACCTAAGGAGGCCGCAGAAGGTTGTGGGTTGTGGGCAAGAGTTGGCTGGACAGTGGCAGAGGGCGCATATAGAGGGGACGGCCTCCAGGACATTGGGGGAGAATTGACTGGTCCCCGGGACCAGCTTCTGAAGAAGACACGCTGGGATTCTTACCCCAGTGGCGGTGATCTTATCAAGCTGTGAGATAAGAAGCTAAAGCCGGCTTTGAGGACAAGGGTGCAGCCGGTGTGGGGAAAGTCCACTGAGCTGTGGGCCTGCCCTCTCTGGTCGGTCCAGCATGAAGGTTAAGGGGCAGCGGGGGGCTGGACTGCCAGCGTCTGGGCCTGGTCTGCACCCTACCAGCTGCGTGACCCCGGGGCTGACTGCATGTCTCTGTGCTGGGGCCCCTCGTCATGAGTGTGGTTGCCCCCATCTCAGGGCTCTGAGAAGGCTCTAGGAGTCATAAAGCCAGGGTTTTCAAGTGGGTGACTGTGCCCCCAAGGACATCAGGCAGTGTAAAGAAGAGAGGTTCTAGGAAGTGGGTTTTAGAGTCACACAGTGGGAGTGGGGTCAGTCTTCCCAGGGGGACAGTGGGGTGGAGGCTGGAGCCCCAGCGTGTGGAGTTACCTGACAGAAACGGGACAGAAGCCCAGAGGTGGTGTTGGGACTGGGAGGGAGTGTCAAGAAGGGAAGAAGCTGCATGTCCCCTGCCACGGGGTCCAGTTTCCAGGACGCCTGTGGGGTGTGCGGCGGAGTTCCTGAAGACCTCGATCATGGCGGAAGGAGAGGCCTGTTTTGTTTTTGTTCTGTTGTCTGCTTATTTTTTAGCAGCTTGGCCTGAAAGGAAGGATGGGGCTTGTGGGCCGGGGAGGAGGTGGCATTCTCTGAGCAGAGCCTGAGAGGGCCACAGTGGGGCGTGGGGCTTGGTCCTAGCCCTGCCTTTCATGGTCTCTCGGAGCCTCGGCCTCCTCATGGCTACGACAGGAGTCAGGAGCCTCTCCTTGAGGGATGGGAGGCTGACAGGGTCCAGAAAGATCTGGCTGAGGGGATGGGAGCCCAGTGCTGTAGCGAAGGGTGGGCTGTGGTGGGCACAGGTACACGAGCTCCAGGAAGAATTTGGACACTGGGTCGGCCACACTGTCGGCCACCCTGATTGTCCTCTGGGAGCCAGGCTGTCCTGTGGTCAGTGACTCGCTGCCCCTCCCAGGAACGCCACGATGAGCCACGGAGAGTGGGTGTCGCGGGGACCGGATGAAAGGACCTCAGGCGCCTGTGTTCCTCCTGCAGAGTCATCTGTGTCGGTGGGGATGGCATGTTCAGCGAGATCCTGCATGGCCTGATTGGCAGAACGCAGAGGAATGCCGGCGTGGACCAGAACCAGCCCCGGGCAGCGCTGGTGCCCAGCCCGCTCAGAATTGGCATCATCCCCGCAGGTACGGGGCCTGCGCCCTTCTCCTCAGCCCAGGAGTGGCTCTGCGTACTCGGCCACCGGACGGGCGGCAGCGCCTGCTCACACTCGGGTCACTTAGCACAGGTGTCCTAGAGGTGGGGCTGCTTACGCGGGGGACAGTACCGTTCTTGGATTTTCTTTCAGGTTCATTTTGTAATTTAAATTGTGGTTTTATCACCGCATGACTATTGCATACTTTTTTTTTTTTTTTAAAGATTTTATTTATTCATTTTTTTCCCCCCAAAGCCCCAGTAGATAGTTGTATGTCATAGGTTCACATCCTTCTAGTTGCTGTACGTGGGACTCGGCCTCGGGTTGGACGGAGAAGTGGTGCCTTGGGGCGTGCCCAGGATCTGAACCCAGGCCGCCAGCATCAGAGCGCATGCACTTAACCGCTAAGCCACAGAGCCGGCCCATATTGCATACTTTTTGAGAGACGGTTTATGAGCAGTTGAAGGAGCACTTGTGTGCGTTTGATGGAGGCCTGTCCTGCTCCCTGAGTGCCGACCGGCCGTGAGGCGCTGAGGGTCCAGCGGCTGGGGGCAGTCTCTGCTCTCAAAGAACTGTTTGGCGGTGGGTGGGTGGTGGGGGGCACAGGGTGGGGGCTCGCTAAGTTGTCACCAGGCCCCCGGAGCACAGTTGAGAGGAAGGGAGCCTGTGGAGCTGGCGGTTTTCTGGAAGGAGGAGCTGGGAGTTGGGGGACGGCAGGGGGCCATGTGCACTGGGGGTGGGGCCCTGTCAATCTCGGGGCAGCTGGGCTGTGTCCGGAAGGTGTCTGGCTCAGTGTATTTTGCCTCTTTCTAGGAAGCACCTGGTTCTTGAGCAATCACAGTGTTAAGCTGGGTGGCGGGTGAGGCCTGTGCATTGTTGGCTCAAGGCTTTGCAAACAGCTCAGCAGGGATGAGGCGGCTTCCCCCCAGCCTCGGGTCTGGGCCTCTGCGACAGTGCTTGCTGCAGAGTGGCCTGGGGCCAGGCTCTGGGCAAACATTCCATGAGGCAGGCCATGGAATTTCGTTTTCACAACAGCTCTGTGAAGCTGGTGCCGTGATTGTCCCATTTGGTGGATGGAGAAGCGAGGCGCCAGGTGAGGCGGCAAGGTCCCTGGAAAAGCATGGGTGGTGGGAGCTCAGAGAGCACTCTGCCCGCCCGAGGTCAGGAACAGCCCTTTGTCTTTTCCTCATTGCCTATGGCATCGTTTATATATCAGATATAGTCACCCTGGTTGGTTACGTGTTTCACAACTTTTTTCCAGGTTAGCCTTTTGTCTTTCAACTTTGTGTGTGGTGTGTTCTGGACTACATGAATTTTGTTTTTCTATATTCAAATCTGTTTTTCCTTTATGCCTTTTATCACCATTTGCAGTGGTAGCATGAATACCTAAAACTCGAAGCTGTTAAAATTTGAAAAGAGCTTAAGAGCTCTCCCCGACCGCGGCCAGGCAGACCCCAGTCAGTGCTCGTGGGCAGGCGCCCCGCTTCTCTGTGGCTTAGGGTGGACTGAGCGCGTGCTGTGCCCGTTCTGGGTCTCAGGGGTTCTGCAGAGAACAGGATGGGGTGGCTTCCGCCTGTGGAGAAGACAGTAGACACACATACCGACGGCACGAGAGGGTCTCCGTAGTGGGCGTGCTGTGGAGAAGGTGCCCCTGAGGGCTGGGTTTGGGCCAGTGGCTAGGAGAGGGTTCTTCGGATAGGGAGTCCAGGGGCCTTTCTGAGAGGTGACAGGTGAGAGGCCAGCCGTGCAGGGACGAGGAGCCATGCCGAGGGTCAGCTGGGACAGAGGGTGGCAGTGGGAACCAGCCGTGCACTCAGGACGGGGCGGGTGTGGCTGGGGTCCCGGAGGTGGTCATGGAGGGCACTGGAGAAGGGCCGGGGTCGGGCTCGTGTCCTGAAGGCCTCGTGGAGATGCAGCAGGAGGAAGGCTCAGCGGCCAATCAGCAGGGGGTGACGTCTGCCTGGGCTTGACGTCGCGTTCTGTTCTGGCAGAACAGAGTCCCAGGGAGGACGCTGGTGGCTGGGACGGTGGGCGCGTGGCCGGCTCTGACTCAGGCTTAGCTTTGGTGTGGTCACCAGGAGTGGAAGGAGGAGTCAGAGTGAGGGAGGCGCCACTGGCGAACCTGTGATGTTGGTCATGGCAACCTGGTGGGGTCGAGGCGAGGAATCAGGATGAGGGACAAGCGTTCTGATGGGGGCCAGCGAGACGTGGCTCCGGGAGGCCCTGAAGCCGGCGGCTGGCAGTAGGTCTGGTACGCGCAGGAGGAGCATCGGTGGTGAATGACGGCCTCGGGGTGGACTGGATGCATCAGGGCAGAGCGTCGTTAGAGCCCAAATGCGCCGTCCCTGCTTCTGAAGGGCGCCGTCCAACTGCTTTGAGTCATGTTCTGACGTTCCATAAATTCAGTCTCTCTCCAGTGACATATCAATTAGAAGTATTAGCAAGTCTACAGGAAGAAAGTTCCGTTCGTGCGGTCCTTGATCTAGTAGTGTCCTTTTCTCTTCAACCAGCACCCACGTCATGGGACTGATGCTCAGGGAGCCTCAGGAGAGGATGTGTGCTTGGCGCTCGAAATCCCTCTGCAGCCTGGTGCTTCCTGAGCAAAAGGATGCAGTGATGGTCGAGTGGGCCGGCTGGCTTTGCTGACGGGATGCGGGGACACCACGACCGTCCCTGTAAGGAACGGGGAGGTGCAGTGTGGCCCGCCTGCAGGCACCGGGGTCTTCGTAGACACACCTTTCCCAGCCTCCCCCACGTGGGGGCCGCGTCAGGTTCCCCTGGGCGGGCTGCAGCTTCACCTCATCTGAGACTCGCGGGCAGGTGAAGAGGCTTCTCAGCCACGTGCAGCCTCTTCCACAGAGGAGTGTGGGACCGAGGGGGTGCCAGCTGCCTGTGCTCGTGTGAGAAGGTGAAGCGACGGCTCTGTGCTTAGGTGTGAAGCGACCTCTGCTGGATCAGCTGGGTCAAAAGTCGACAAAAAGTTCTGGGTTTTGAATACTGCTTCGCTTCATTTCCTTGTGGCACAAAATTTGTTTCTTTGATAGAACAGGTCCACAGTGATCCCTCAGGTGGCTTCCTGTCACATGAGTTAACCAGATGATGGTGACCGCAGCTGCTGTTTATCGGGACCTGCTGTATGCTGGGCCTCGTGCCAAGTGCCCACAGGCCTTGGCTGATTCCCAAGCAGCCTGCCGCATGGGTGCTGGCATTCTCCGTCCTAAATCTGAAACCCAGCTCAGAGCATAACGTGCTGAAGGGCTCACGCTGGCAGGTGACAGGGCCGAACCTGGACTCTGATCTGGCTCTCTCACTCTCCACCACTCTCAGCCCCAGGGGCCCTCTCCAGCCCTTTCCTGCATGGAAATGTCTCCTTATCATGACCCCGTGCTGGTGGGAGTGGGTTCTAGAAGAGAGAGGCCCTCGTGACCCTGTGTTGGTGGGAGTGGGTTCTAGAAGAGAGAGGCCCTCGTGACCCTGTGCTGGTGGGAGTGGGTTCTAGAAGAGAGAGGCCCTCGTGACACCGTGCTGGGGGGAGTGGGTTCTAGAAGAGAGAGGCCCCCTCGGAGCCTTTCCTGTCAGCAGCTCCCAATGTGCCATTGGCCCCATAGAAACCCTGCAAAACTAAAGCTGACTTTGAAGGAAGGCACTCGTCTCCCTTATCAGTTCTCACTACGTGAACTGGGTAAGAAAAGTATGATTTAGATTCAGATGCCTGAGTAGGAGAAATAGTGAGCTGGTTTCTCTGACAAGATGCCGAGCAGAGCCCTGTCTATAACTGAAGATGCACTGCCAAAGAGCAGCTCATCGGTCCCGATTCCTTTACGGGAGCATGTCGAGTGGCTGCCACACTGTGCAGGGCCCGTGCTGGACACCGTAGCGCCTGCAGCAGCCGTCCCTGGGCTCGTGACTGAGTGGGGACGAGCCGTCACACACGCTCGCTTCTGAGCACTGTACTTTGAGCAAAAGGAATGTGTATTGGAACTTAGAGCCGGGCTGAGTCCACCTGGGAACTGAACTTTCCTGCATCTGCCTCATTCTCAGAAAGGCTGTCTCTCGCACAGGGTCAGGCAGAAAGACGGCGGTTTGCTTGACTGTCGTTGCCAGAATAGTGCTGCCTGCTGCCTGCTCTGTCCTGGGCGGAGCACTGAGCTTCCCGGGAGGGCAGCATCCCAGACGGAACACATGAGCCTGGGGCTGGGAGGGAGACAGGCAGCCGATGCCGTTGAGGGTAAGTGCGCGGTCAGGGGCTGCACGGGGCTCTGAGAGCAGAGGTTGCCTGTCACCAGGCCTCAAGCGTCAGGAGGCCTCCAGGAGTCGATGCCAGAACCAAGTCTGGTTTATGTGGGGCCCCACCTGAACCAGATCTCCTTCCCTTTCCAGCTGGGGCTTCCTCTTGGTTAAAGTCTTCACCACACAGATATTTGAGGAAATAATTGGGGAGTTATGTTGTATCCAAGAGAGGGATGAGCTGTTAAAAGTGACTGAAAGTTAAACCAGGGAGAAATGGAGTAAGAATCGGGGTGTTTGAGTGGACTTGAAGCGGTTCTCTGCTGGCCCTCGGATCGCTCCAGCTGCCAGCCGGACCGGCCTCTTTAAACTGAAAACGTAAGGAATCCACAACCTGAAGACACCCCGGAGCTCTGGCCATTCATTCTTTCAGTCAGTCATCGTGCATTCATTCAACAAAGATTTCTTCACCTACTGTAGGCCAGCCACTGTGTGGGACCCAGGAGTGAACAGGCGGGGCACACACGGAGGCCAGGGAGAGAGACAGATGCTAAATAAGAAATGAAGGGGATAGAGCGGTGGGGGGTGGGGGGCACACCAGTCCAGACAGGGTGCTCAGGGAGGCCATTCAGGCATGACACTGATCTGAGGCCCGGGGGTGGGGACGACAGAACCCTGCATCTGGGCAAGATATTCCAGGCAGAAGGAGTTGCACGTGCAAAGGCCCTGAGGCAGGAATGAGCTTGGCTGTGGGTGGTGCTATCAGAGGTCAGGTGGCGTGAGCCACGTGAGTAAGAGGCAGAGCGGGGATGGGAGACACAGGGAGAGGGGGGCTGTGGCCTCATGAAGGATCCTGAGTAGGGTATACGCTGAGCTGATTACTTTCTTTAAAAATCTGATTTTTCAGCAAAATAATCCCTGAAACCTATTAGAAACTCAGTTTACCTACCATATTCATTGCCCAAAGGACCTGGATGACATAGAGAGTGAATGTGTGTCCCCAGTCCAGGGGCAGGGCCCCATGAATTCCTCTGTTTGTCTCTAGAATTCAAGTGCCTTTGGGCTCTGCACCATCCTACACTCTCAGTGGGGAGCGTTTGCAGTTACTTCCTATTGGGTGAACTCTGCTCCTGGGGAAGTGGGTGTCCTCCCAGCCCCCTGGAGCCCGAGGTGTGGCCCAGGCCCTAACATCTGACCAGAAAGGCTGGTCACCCACTGCCTGTCCCTCCTACTCCTCCCTCGATGAGACGCCTCTCAAGCAGCTTCTGAATGACAGGACGCTGTCATCGAGAGCGGTCATCAAACCACGTCTTCATTGTGGTTGTATGAGGACATAGCAAGGTCAGAAACAAGCGCTTTTTTCCCGGAACAGGGCCCTACTTGAAGTTCCTTTGTAAGGTTTTCAACCTTCTTTTAGTGTCTGCTTGATACAGAGCAATGGGATTCTAGAGAGACCCAGAAACAAAGACGGACTTCAAAGGTCTTGGGTTTCTAGGACGTGGTGCAGAATAGAACCAACCTCTTGCTCCTTCATTTTTATTCGAGATCATTGCCGAATTTCCACTGACTCAAGATTACTGAATATACAAGTGACATCTGATTAAATGCAGGGAGGTTGGATGTCTGATCAAGTTTTGTCCTAAAGGATGGTTTGTGAAGAAAGTAAACCGTGCACTAGGCACATAAGGGAGCGAGTGGGCTCCATGGAAATTCTGGAAAGTTCTAGGGATATGAAGGACTCTACCTCTGGGCATGGTTCAAATTAATGAAACAGTTCTTTTGGAGTTTGTTCTCTCAGAAATGTTTATACTTGTTATTCAGTTACCCTTAATTATAAAGATGAGGGTGTGGGAGATAGTCTGAAACCACAGAGTTTTTCTTAGATACTGTTAATTACGTTTTAAGAATTAGTCACTCCTGTGGTCTTAAATGTTCATTTAAAAATTTTTTACTTTTTGGCTCATTTTTGGAATGAGCTGTCACTCAAGTCTTTAGGTTAAGATTAACAAAAAAATGGGCCAGCCAGGTGGGGTAGTGGTTGGGTTTGCATGCTCTGCTTCAGTGGCCTGGGGTTTGCAAGTTTGGATCCCGGGCACGGACCTACGCACCACTTATCAAGCTATGCTGCAGCAGGCGTCCCACATATAAAGTAGAGGAAGATGGGCACGGATGTTAGCCCAGGGCCAGTCTTCCTCAGCAAAAAAGAGGAGGATTGGCAACAGATGTTAGCTCAGGGCTATCTTCCTCACCAAAAAAACAAAAACAAAAAAAAAGATTAACAAAAAAGAAAAATACACATATTGGAAATATGTGAGTGTGTGTTTATATAAGTTACCAACCATCAGAAGTCATATGTCAGCTAAGATTAACTAATTAAGAGCCCTCCACTCTGATCCCCAACTGTGCAGACCGTTACTCTAGGAGACAGCGAGCGGGGTTGCGGGCTCACCTGGCTGTTTGGAACCATGAACTTTCAGGTTCGTTGGACGACAGTTAGGGCGAGAGACTTGTGGATTGTTCCAGGGCCTGAGGGCAGAGCATCTGGACCCTGTGGGGGGGCCCAGCTTCTGTGCCTGTTAACTCGCTGGTTATTTCCGGATGGACCTCGGTCTGTGCCGGGGGTGTGTCTGGGCAAAACTGTGCAATTCTAGATACTGTCACTGCGTTTATTCTTGGGAATTATAGACAAGGGTTTTTCAACTGTTCAGCAGATCTGTTAAAATTCAGATTGCTCAGCCCCATCCCAGACCTACTGAGTCAGAATCTCGGGGGATGGGGTTCAGGAGTCTCTTCATAAATAAGCACCTTGGGAGAGTCTCTGCCCACTCAGGTTGAGAACACTGACCTGGATTGTAACCCAGTTAGAACCAGGACGGACCTAGGGAGGACCAGTAGCAGCCTCATTGCCATGCCCAGGGACCCAGTGCTAGCTGGGTATTCTGAGGTCAATTGAGGTCACCCCAGTTTACAGCCACGCCCTCGGGCAGGAGGAGGTTGACCGCTGGCTGCCATCAGGTGTGTGCTCGCCGTGCCCAGCGGGGTCAGAGCAGGACCAGCCTGGCCCCTCATGTCTGGGCTGGTGGCTGCCATGCCCCAGGGCCCAGGGAAGGGCCAGGGCTCCGGTCCTCTGACCGTGCACACTGGGAAGCTGAAGTGTGTCTGTGAAACGTGGTGCTTTTCTGTCCTGGCTCTGCCTACCCTCTCCCACTGGCGACGCCTCTGTGCAGATTCCCTTTGCCGCCACCGTCTTTGTAGCAGCTGTGGGGGGACACGCCGTGCAGAGCGCTGAGCCACTGCTGCAGGCACTTCTGGGGGGCTCAGGAGCCGGTGGATGCTATTGCCAGGGTGATCTCAATATTTTTGGTGAATCAGTCTCAATATTTCCAGTATTCATTTTGTAGGTAAATTGTGCTTTTTCCGTATGTACTCCACGGCCGTGGAGAAAGGGAAGAGTAGACCCCTCACTCAGCAGGAGGCCTGCTGCAGCTTTAAATCATTGTAATGACGTCAAGGACCTTCTTTTTGCCTCTGTAGGGTCAACAGATTGTGTGTGTTATTCGACGGTCGGCACGAACGATGTGGAAACGTCAGCCTTGCACATCATCGTGGGTAGGTCCCTTTCCTGGCGGTCGTGGGCTGTAGGAGGCTCCGTGCACAGCGCTCGGCGTGCTAGCCTCTTGAGAACACGAGGTGGTCCCGTTCTCGCTGTCCCTCTGCCAGCAGGACTCCGTGTCTGCCGCCTCCTGTCCCACTCGTCTTCCCACGGCCATCAGAGGGACCCTTCAAAAACATAAACCCCTGCTCTGGACCCTCAGTGCGCCTTGTCCAGAGTCTTGAGGGGCGCCCAGGCACCCCGTGACCTGGCTGGCTCTCCTTGGCGTCCCTGTGCGCTGGCCGGGCTGCCCCTCTGTCCCGGAAGCATCCCTCGCTCGTCTGGTGCCCTGCCCTCTGCTGTCATTTCTGTCAGGGCTCTGCCCTGTCACCCTGTCAGAACAGCCTGCCCAGGCCAGAGTCCATGGCTGCCTGCGGTTCTCCTTCCATGTCCTGTCCACTCTCCCCCTGCTCCTCCGGAACGCGGGGCCCCGAGGGCAGGACACCGGTGACCTCGCTGCTAGTCTCCAGGTCAGGGAGACAGGAGTGGCTGCCGAAGCTGCTCCCATCTGTCCAGGCGGCTGCACGACAGTCGCGGGCTCCCTCTCCTGTTCCGTCCCTGATGACAGTGCTACTCGTGTGTTACCAAAGTCACAGAAATGTTATGCTTTTGTATTTTAAAATGCCATGCGCTTTTCTTCGTTGTCAGACCCACCTTCCTTTCAGTTAGTGACATTTAACAAGCTTCCTGGGACATTCTTGTTCTGTCCCCACAGGACAGCTTTCCAAGCCTGTCTTGGAAATTTGAGTCAAATTGTGTCATTAGAATCAAGAACAGGAGACCCAGTGCCCCCAGAGAATAGACCACTGACCGCCTTCTGCGGGTTTTACGTTGTAATTAAGTGACTCCTTCATGTGTGCCAGGCGCGGTGTAGGAGGCAGGGTGTCGGGGGCGCGGTGTCGGGGGCGCGGTGCCGGGGCGCGGTGCCGGGGCGCTGTGCCGGGGCGCTGTGCCAGGGCGGGGTGCGGTGCCGGGGCGCGGTGCAGGGGCCGGGGGTGCGGGTTAGCGTGGAGAGGGGGCGGAGCAGCAGGCCCCCATTCCCCACTCCTCTCCGCAGGGGACTCGCTGTCCATGGACGTGTCCTCCGTGCACCACAACAGCACGCTGCTGCGCTACTTCGTGTCGCTGCTGGGCTACGGCTTCTACGGGGACATCATCAAGGACAGCGAGAAGAAGCGGTGGATGGGCCTCGCCAGATACGACTTCTCAGGTAACTCAGAGGGCGCTCACCAGTGCAGTGCTCCCACACGCGTCGTCCGGGGCGGTCTGCACGGCGCCCGTGAAGTGGGCGCCCGTTTACTGACAGAAGCCACCGACCTGGCGTCCCTGTCGCTGCCCAGGGGCGCGAGTCTGGCAGGATCCCAGGTTGCCTGAGAACCACTGGCGTCCGCATCGGGCCAGGCCCCTCTGACCCACTCAGAGCCGGAACTCAGCAGAAGTGGGAGTCGGCTCCAGATCACACAAACAAGTGACAGTCCTCACATCTCAGGTACAGGCACCGTCACCTGCATTTTCTGCTTTTAAGTGCGAGAAAGGAGCTTGAAAGGACGTAGAAGTTAAAGTTTGGCACTCTTGTCCTTCGGATGAATTCCTTGGCTGTATTTAATGAATGTCATCTATCTGGTCACTGCCCTTTATAGTTTGCTTTTGGGTAAATCTGTATTAAATTTAATTGAAAAATGTCAAATAGTAAAATCCAAACCTTTTTCTTGGGAGAGAAAGGAATAGTAACTTGGTGAGCTTTCCACAGTAAAAAGATCTACAGTGTGGCTTTAAGATTAAAACATAAAATGTGGCAAGTTCATGTATTTATTGAAACCTTAATTAGGAAAAGGAATAATGAGGAACTTAGAAAAACCACAGGCGTTTCAGTGACCGACTGGTGCCATTTCCCGATGCCCCATTGTCGGGCCCCTGGGCAGTGCCGTCTCAGGGCCACCGCGCGCTCCTTCCCACACCTCAGCACATGGCCTGTAGCCGGTCACCCCCGCTGGGACGAGAGCTCAGAAGGCAGCCGTGTTCCCCGTCTTCGGTGATGTGAGGTGGTCTCAGGAGGGTGGGATTTGGGTGTAGTTGCTGAGTGAACACTTGGAGGTGGGCAGTGTCCTAGAGGCAATGTGGCAGGTGATGTAAAGGAGACACTTTAGGGCAAGCAGGACAGGCAGGTGGGCCCGTCCAAGGACAGACAGGGATGGGGACGCTGGTACCGGGGAGAGGCCGCCCTGGAGGTGGGAGCTGGGAGATGGAGCAGCCACTCCTCCCCTCACCCCGCGGGAGCCTGGCTGTGGCCCCTTCGCTTCAGTGAGGAATCGAGTTGGCGGGTTGTCCCCCTCCCGGTGGGGAGGAGCAGAGAGAGGCCAGAGCCACCCACGGGGGCAAGAGGGGCAGGAGGAAGGTGGATGCCAGGGGGCGACTGGGGAGCTGTTTCTTGACAGGACAGGTGGTTACTGAGCGTGTCGCGGATGCCCAGCTGCACGCCAGGTGCTGGCAGAGCAGGGCAGGCAGGTCCAGGTCTATGGGCTCAAGGACAGGCTGTGTCAACTAGCCGAGGCTGTGGGAGTGTGACCCATGGCGGGCGGGGCCCACCAGTGGGCCATGCACACTGGGCGGAATGCTCGTCACCCTGTGGTGATGACAGGTGACGGAGTGGGGCCTGGGCACCGTGTTGAGGGAGGGAGGTCTCAGCATAGGGGGTACTGTGGCCTCACCGTCATGCCAGAACCACTGCCAGCACCAGCCCAGCGTGTGACACCAGGAGTGGTGTCACCGTTAGACTCACAGGGCACCGAATGGTCCCGCTGTGGCCTAGGGCCCTCAGGCCCCACTCCCCTGTGTCCTGCTGGGCGGCCTTCTCCGGACAGCTGGTCAGATTCACACCAGGCATGTTGGGGCAGGGGTGAGGAAGGCCAGGCCAGCTCAGGGTGGCTTTGTCCCTAGCCTTGGCGAACTGGCGTGGCACAGGTAGCGCGTGGACAGCACACCACAGTTTGCCAGAGGGGCCGCCATGGTCTCTTGGTGGCGGTGTTGCCCTGGCCTTGTCCGGAGTTCTTCCAAGATACCAAAGTTGTGGACGACCTCGGGGGGCCCAAACGTGGGGGCTGCAGGGGCAACACCGACAGTCTTACAGGAGTAGAGACTGAAATGTGCCTCTTTCAAAGTCATGCGGGTGTCAGAGGCTCAACAAGGCGCCAGCCCCCCAGTGACCCACAGGCAGAATCACGTTAGAATACACAGGTCACCTTGGCGAGGTCATGTGGGGTCACTGGTGGCAAAGACGCCCACTTTGCCAGTGTGGAAAGCGGCCCTGGTGACCAGGCGCCCAGCGTGGCCGGATCCCTACTGCTCCTGTCAAACGGGGTCTTGGATGCGCTGGCAGTGGGGTGCCTGCAGCTCCCCTCCAGTGGCGGCAGGAGTGCAGCCTGATGGGGGTCTGTGCCTGTGTCTCCTACAGACGCTCAGTGTCACAAGGCGTCTTGATCTGCTCTCACTGGTGCTTCAGAGGCTAATGGTCACAGTGTCATAACCAAGGAGTGACACTTGTGGATGTTTTCTCTCCGTGGCGCTCTGTTCTCAGGGTTGAAGACCTTCTTCTCACATCACTGCTATGAAGGGACCGTGTCTTTCCTCCCGGCCCGGCACACCGTGGGGTCTCCACGCGACAGGAAGCCCTGCCGCGCAGGGTAAGCACACTTCCTACCTCCTTGGTTTCTGTTGTGAACGACATGACGTAGGCAGGACTGTGGGTTTTGCTCCTGTTGTGAGAGTGAAGGCACAGTATCTGCCAAATGCAGATGGGAGACTGGATTCACTGTGCCCGGTGGTGGCGGAGGTGAGTGTAGCACTTTTGGGGTCACACACACCCCAGGGAGAAGGTGTCTTGCCTTACGCTTCCTGTGACGGGTCCCTGTGCCACGGATGGGACACGAGGGGAGGCCTCGAGTTGGGTCGAGTCCACATCGTCCTCCGAGGGAGGGCTGTCATCACGTGGCCTGCTCCCTTGGGGGCTCCCTTGCCCCCTTTGGGGGTCTGCCGGGTGACAAATGCATGCAGCGATGAGAGACACAACCACTGTACTGACAGCTCTGTGCCGGCCACCGCGGGGACCACAGGCTGAGCCGGACTGGACAGACGGGTGTTCTCAGCAGAAGAGGCACTGGAGCCTCCGTCCCCACCCCAGGGGAGAGCTTGGCCCATTTTATCCCACGCTCCAAGGGGGCCCCGCCCCGAAGTTAGGAAGGGCAAGCCCAGCCCCCAGCCCCCGGGGAGAGGGTGCAGGACAGCTGGCAGGTGCGGGGCACCGAGAGGAGGCAGCGGCCCCCAGGGGAGGGGAGGTTGAGAGTCAGCGACAGCTGAGAGAGCTGGCGGCCTCTCCCCCAAGTCCGGGCGCTGATCTGGCATCACGGTCTCTGTGACCGTGTGGACACATGATGACAAGCAGCAATGCCTTTTCCACCTAATGCCCCCCAGTACATTCCATAGTGTGTGACCAGCTTAAAGCAGAACCTGAAATAAATCTTAAAACTGGTCATCCTGCGGCCCTGTGGCCCGTTAGTGACAGCAGAGTGTCTGTCCACTGTCTTGTCCCTGCTCCTTCCCTCCTCAGTCCTTTCCTCCATAAAGTGAAGCATTTGAGACCATGAAATCGAATAGTTAGAGGCAGACGTGATTTTTCTCATCACATCGCTGAACTCAGTTGTGGATGAGCTCATTTCACCAGCGGAAACACTGGTCCTGTTTGACAGGCGAGTCCAGCGGTGTCCAAGACACAGATACCTTCCAGACTCACGACTGAGTTCCGAGTTAACTGTTTGGAGTTATTTACTTGCTCGCTATTGGCTGGCACAGAGAACCAGTATATTATCTGTCATCTGAAAGGGAGTGAACTCTCAGCCTAGGATTCCCCAGGGGATGTGCACCTTCCTGGGCCCCTCCCAGCGAGCCAACACAAGGGCCTTGTAGGGTGCTTTCTGCTTTTTATAATGTTTACAAATTTTAGAGGATATGTTGGTGTGTAATTTTTAAAAGTAGGTCTAATTTTGAGAATTCAAATTAATATGCAAAAGAAATATTTTTAGTTAAGGCTTTGAAATGGAACTTTTTATTATATGACAAGAATTGAAAGACTTCTATAAACATGTGCCAAGCACATGTATTTCGTTGTTAAATCCACATATTAAAGGAGAGCTGATGCCGTTCCTGTCTTCCAGATGCTCCGTCTGTAGGCAGAGCAAGCAGCGGCTGGAAGAAGAGCAGAAGAGGCCCTTATGTGGTCTAGAGAGCACGGGTAAGGTCCCAGGAACAGGCTGCCATCAGAGGTGCGTGTGTGAGCGGTTCAGTTCTGGAAGCATGCGGCACGCTGCCTTCTCCCTGCCAACGCTCCTGGCTCTGTGCTGCCCTTCGTGTCATCTCCTTTTCTGCTTAGCTCCAGGCAGCAGCAGATGGTTGCCATGTGCTAGACTTCTGGGAAGACTAGATTTCACGGAAGCGCCCACGTTTGCTGTCTTCCTCTGAATGACTGTCGTAGCGCCAGCCAGGCTCCTCTCCTCTAGAATGCTCTAGAATGAGGGTCAGCAAGTGTTTCTGTTAAGGGCTTATAATAAAGTCTTCAGGCTTTGCCAGCCACTTGGAAAGGAATGGGACCACCTGTGTTCCCAAAACTTTATTTATGGACATCGAAATTTGAGTTTCAGATAATTTTCATGTCACAAAATATTATTCTTCTTTTGATTTTTTCCAATCGTTTAAAAATGTGAAAATCGTTCTTAGCTCACAGGCCACACAAAATCAGATGGGCCAGATTTGGTGAGTGTGGTTCTCAGTCATTATCCAAAAGTCCCCAGGTGAGGACCAGGGAGACGGCTCTGCCTTTCGGGAGGTGACCCTCTGGGCACAGAAGTCGGCATGGTTTTCTTTGTGTTGGTGATAAGGCGTCGACTGCATGGAGAATTTGTAGGGACGATCCTGTCCCTTCTCATCTGAGGACGCTGTCCCCCTGCCCCCCCCCCCGCCTCATATTTAGTGTAACGTCTGCAACACTCCTTTTTGCTTCAGAGGAGGTGGAGGAGTGGAAAGTCATCTGCGGGAAGTTCCTGGCCATCAACGCTGCAAACATGTCCTGTGCTTGTCACCGGAGCCCCAGGGGCCTCTCCCCGGCTGCCCACTTGGGAGACGGGTCTTCTGACCTCATCCTCATCCGGAAATGCTCCAGGTTCAACTTTCTGAGATTTCTCCTCAGGCACACCAACCATTACGACCAGGTGGGTGGAATGCTCTTCCGTAGGGTCTGTGGCAGCAAGCAGTTTCTTCCCAGGCAATCCTGCCTTGTAGATTGTAGGATTACATTACTGAAGTCAAGGGAAAGAAGGACAGATTTTTTGGTTTGCATTTCACCCATTTTAAACTTAGTCACAGTTACTCCTTGTAGAATCTCATTTAAAAATATAAAATCTTTGAGCACAGAAACTAGGAGGTGTGTTTTCCTGTGTCTTCCTGTCATTTCCTATTTAAAAACAGGACAGAGGGAGACGGTAAGATTTTATGTTGCCCTTGCAGGTCGCTTACAATAAAATCTTCAGGCTCCTAGAAGTGGGTGCTGGTCAGACCCTTCCAGCAAACCTTTCTGTGGTCACTGGCGTCCTTGTTGTTAATACAGGGGAAGACCCCAGGTCTAACAATGTCGAGGGAACTGGACCTGGTGGTCCATCTCTGACTTCAGTAAATTGTAGTTTTTTAAATTAAATTGTATTTAAGATCTAGTCCAGTAATGTCTTATGCAGATTTTTAAGCAGTGCTTGTTAAAAGGTAATAAAGAATTCCACATGTCTCTGCCAAGGAGCTCCCGGACTTCTTTAAGAAGCCTTCCTTCCTCACTGGGGATGAGCTAGGATTTCCAAGTGTTCAGTGTTTGGACGAGGGCCTGGGAAGGCAGGTGTTGGACTTCTCTTCCTCTCCTTGTTATCTGTGAGCTGGAGAGAGCTGCTCAGAGGCACGGCCCCAGTGGCCACATCCTCGAGGAGGGGCCGAGTGTGCTCGGAGGACGAGGACTTGCCCGAGACAGACGGGCTGTCCCTTCCCCAACACAGTAACTTTAAGAACATCATTTCCCCTTTCGCTGTCTCTCGGTAGTTTGACTTCACTTTTGTTGAAGTTTATCGAGTCAAGAGATTCCAGTTTACGTCGAGGCACGCAGAGGACGAGGACCGCGAGCTCAGGGAGAGGGGCAAGACGAGGTTTGGGCAGATCTGCAGCGACCACCCCCTGTGCTGCTGCACCGTGTCCAGCAGCTCCTGGAACTGTGATGGGGAGATTCTGAGCAGCTCTGCCATCGAGGTCAGGTGAGCGAGGTGGCCCCCGGTCACAGCGTCCCGCAGTGTGCCTCAGCGTACAGGTGCCACCTGGTGCTCCCAGCGGCTTTGAGCATCTTACAACTTATAACCTAAAATGTAAGCGTCCGTTGTAAATGCCCAATGAGATACATTGTCCTAATTTTAGAGAGATGCAAGGATGTTGATAATTTTCACAACCCCTCAGTTTTATTATTTTTCTCTTCCACGCCCTGCCCCACCCCCCAGCACTGGAATTGGTCTTTTGCCCTGGCATTCTCTCTCTTTTCCTAACTAATTAAACAGACAAACCCGCCTTCATGGGTGCTTTCTAAGTCCTGGGTTCACTGAGTCCACCAGGAGGCGCTCCGGCCTCAGGAGCCCAGCCGCTGCCCGGCCTTCAGCCTCAGTGCTGGCGCCAAGTCAGGGCTGGGGCTCTCGGCCTCCCTGGGGGCAGCCCCCCGCCCCTCCTCCGGCTGGTGGAGTCTGAGAAGTGGGTCTCCCGTACCTGTTGGGGCCCATTGTATTTGGGATTAGAAATCTGTAATCTAATGATGTATATGACATAACCAGATGAAATATGAGTGCAAAGAAAGTGTTTTTCCCTATGGAAAGACACCGTAAAAGAAGTTGTTTTTAAAAAAAGGTATTAAATGAACTGTGGGCGTAAAACATATATGAGATTGGGGGAGAACCGTAAAGTTCTGGAAGGATCTGTACTGTTTGCAAATATTGTTAGGACTTGGTCTACTTTAAGGAAACCAAACCGGAGGCTCACTGATGATGCGAGTGTGGAGGACATGGGAGGCCCCCACTCCCACTACATGGAAAGAGGGGTGATGGGTGCACCCTTCGATGTTACACGTCACGGCATTTAAGATAACGTGATCACTGTTTCTAACTCCCCGCTGTAAACGGCTTTCCCACCAATGAGCTCAACCATCAGGGTCCAAACAGAGCTCCGGGAGAGGGCAGTCCTCAGATCTCAGAGCCCCGTGTCCGCGTGCCCCCTGGTCTTGCAGCCAGGATGCGGTCAGTGTGGCAGTGACTGCCCAGCTCACGTCCACAGACGTCACGGGAAAGCCCACCAGGCTGCTCACACACGCGGGGATTTGGCTTCTGTAGACTCATTGTACAAGTTAAGGAAATGGAATTCTTTTTAACGCTGGCTTATGAATTTACTAAAGAAATAGGATACTTTGAAAGTTAGCAAAGGCATTCTTTTGTGAAATATATCCTACATGTCTTCATAAATATTACCGTGCCAGCGAGTGAACAGCGAGTCACTTAATTAAGGGGTTTTTGTGACTACACATCTCTGAGGAGGCTGTGATATCATTAACAAATTGGGTAGGTGGCACTGCCGGGGACCCGAGAGCCCACGCTGACCACCGAGCTTCTCCACTTACATCCTGGGGCTTGTTGTGGAAGGCAGGGACCTCCGGGGACCTCGGCCCGCTCCTCAGACCCCAGGGCCCTGGCCAGTGTGCGGCCCACTTGTTTTCCGTGACTAGACATTTCCTGCAGGGTTTCCTGCGTGGAACCCTCCTGGTGGCCCTGTAAGCTCGGTCCTGATGGGGAGACCCGGGTAGGGAGAGTGGAGACCTGTGGACCTGTCACCCTGCTAGGGAGTGGGGTGCTGGAGTCAGAACCAGGTCTGCTGATCCCTGGTGCCCTTTACAGAATAGGTCTCAGGCCCGTAAGGAAATCACTCTGCGCCCCCGCCCTGTCACTGCAGGGTTGAACCCAAAGACAGGTACCACGAGACCCACTGGCCATGGCGAAGGAGAACCCCCCTCCGCCCTTGACCAGCTGTGGGCCCGAGAGGCAGGGGGACACGAGGGTTCACATGTGGCCCTTTGTCTCTGCAGGGTTCACTGCCAGCTGGTTCAGCTCTTTGCACGAGGAATTGAAGAGAATCCTCAGCAAGAATCACACAGCTGAGACGCCGTCACCCACCGCCCGCCTTCTTGCCGTGCTTGAGAAGTGTGACAATTATTTAAGAAGATTACTGCAGACCAATTATGTTGATATATACATTTAAATTTAGAAATTTACTTTTGATAGTTAAATCTTGATTTCAGAAGAAATACCTTTTGTCACCAATTTTGTGAACATACTTGGCATTTTCAGTTCTATGTGAATCTTTGGGTTGCGTTTCACGTGACTTATTCTCAGCAAATGGCACTTGTTGATTTGGGCTGCTGGCTTCTTAGAGTGTAATGATGCTGACAGCGCAGATTAAAGCGACCCCTTAGTGGCTCTAGTGCAGTAATTTTAGAGACAACAGAAGTGCTTTCCATCGAGGTCACGCCATCTGGACATGAGGGATCTCCCGGTCCCTCTGAGCTGCTCTGCAAGGCTTACTCTGTGGGAGTTTGTGATCGAGTTTTGGAAAGTACTCATTCATTCTCTTTGCCTTCATTTTCCCTGTGTCTGAATTGATGACTAGGACATTATTATGGGACCCTGTCCATCTCGTGCATCTGCAGTCTAGTCGTGCTTTAAGCGACACTTCAAGAGTGGACCATTTAGTGAGAATTAATTACTAAAAGTAACAACGCTTTATCTTTAAAATTGCCTTTCTTGCTCTCATCGTGGCAGCATTGCTAAGACAATCCAGCCGGGAGCACGAACCGGCCCCGAGCTTGGGAACGCGCAGCTCGCAGAGCCCGGCCAGGGTCTGACTGTTTTAAATTGAGAATACCGAAGCTTTACATCGACACAAAGGGGACAGCAGGGCTGGCTTTGGGGGAAACAAAGGAAGCTGGCCTGCGTTAACTTCAAGCCAGTGGGGGCAGGGCGCGGCCGAGGAGCAGGGGGTTACTCTGGTGGGGCCCCGAGTCTGCACACATGGTCCAGGTGTGTTCTTTTCTTATCCTCACCCTTATGTCTATATATTTATTGACAGTTTTGTCCTTTGCAGCCCCCAGTAGTATAAATGGCTTCTTCGTCTGTGTTTGGTGGGCTTCCTGCTGCGGCTGCAGGGCTAGGGACTCCCCGAGGGTGCTCTCCCCGTCCCTGGGCGCCCCGTCTGTGTTCCCCAGCTGAGCCGCGGCCGCGTGTTCTTCGTAGCCACGCTTATGTACAGGCAAGCTGTATCTAAAGTAGCTCTGTCTGAAATACGAGCAGGTGAGCCTGTTACAAGAGGCAACTCTGCACCCTGTTGGCAGACGCCGTCGGAGTGGATTGTACCTCACGGAGGTTCAGTTAGTCACTTGAGCATTTCACAGACACCATCTATTTTTAGAATTCACCTGCAGCGATTTCTATTTTGAAGTATACATGAAATTTCCTATTTCATCATTCAGTCCCACCCGGGTCAGACAAAAGGGCAGCTTTAGCGGTGGATGTTTAAATAGACCACGTCGTTAAGGTAGTTGTGCAAGGCGAATGGTTTATTGATGGGTGGTGGGTGAAAAGTCTGGGTATCCAGAAGTAAAGGGACGCTGGCTGTGGCTGTTGTTCGCTCCCGGCTGAGAAGAAACCACAGGCGCACAAGTGGGCGCTCCGTGCGGGGCAGGGGCCGCTCCCGCGCGGGGCTCAGGGGCTCCGCGGCGGCCGCCCGACACTGCTCTGTGGAATTGAACTACTTCACAAGGTTTCCCCAGAAACCTTCAGTCTTTACCGTCCCTGGTAAATGTTCCCAAGACACTGGTCTGCCCTACAATCCACTGCCAATTTTAGAAAAATGGTCCAGACCTCAGAGTAAGCATTTTGCGTTCAACGAGACACCCAGCCACACCACGTGGTGCCCGGCTGGCTTTGGCCACGTTTACCGACTGCGTGCTGCCCCTCAACACTGCAGACCCTGGAATTGCTCTTGGGGGACTGTGCGACTGTGAACACCCCGAGAGCCCCTCGATCATCTGTGCACAAGACAGAAGCACCGTGCAGACATTCCCACACGAGCGTCCCATCTCCACGAAGACGAGGTGGAGCTTGTTGCACCAGTGAGCCACACAGGAAGTTACGACAGACTAGCCCTTCTAGGTGACCCTAAGTTGTCACCACCTGACCATCAGTTCTGATTGTTTTTCCTAAAACCCCGAAGTTCAGGTGAACTTGAATTTCACCCCAACACTCCCTGTGTAATAGTCCTGAAATCTGGGTTTTTCATTCCCTTGTTTCATCCACGTGAGGGGATCAACGTGCCGCCCCAAAACATGCCACTGTGACATAAGGATTGTTTGTGCTGAGGACAGTTAAGCAGCAGCAAATGCAGAAAGAGCGCTCTGCCCGCCCCAGCCGCCTGAAGGCAGGACACGGATTTCCCTTTGTGAAGGTGTGCCCCTCCTCCCTCCTGTACCAGGAGGAGAACCACCTTTATCACCGGAGACAGAAAGTCAGCGCCGAGATGGGGCTGCGTAAACCAACCTTCCATCAGTTTCCCCCATATAAAATTCCCCAATAGATTAATTTTACCCTAGCAGCCCAAACCCCTTTCCCTCCATCTTGTCACTTCTCAACAAATTAATTTATTGCCCTTTATTAAAATTGTACATAAGCCCCAGGTCTAACCACCTCTTTGGGTCTCCACTTGTTTTCTACAATACCTCCATTCACATAAAAATAAATTAAAATATTAGCATTAAATAAAAACCATATACCTTTTCTCCTGTTAATTTGCCTTTTGTTAGTTTAATTCGCAGCCCTCAGCTACTGAACCAAAAAGGGTAGAAGAAAGGTTTTTTCTTCCCCTACACACGTTTATGTTCTGAGACAGTATACTGTTTAGTTTTGCAGGTTTTGCTCTTTATATAAAAGGAATCATACTGTGTTGTTTTCTGTAACTGCTTTCATTCTGCATGTTTTGAGAAGAACATTTTCATCATGAAACTGAATTTTCCTGTCTATGAATATTGCATATATTTCCATTTATATAAGTCTTCATTCATGTCTTTCAATACAGTTTTATAATTTTTTCATAAATGTCTCTTAATTCTGTTTAGATTTATTCTTAAAAACTTCATACTTTGAGGCTTTAAAAATTTTTTTAATTAGAAATGCAATTGTTTTTATGTATCAGATTGTATCCAGAAAACTTGCCTCTTATTAAAATAATTTAGCTGTAGATGTGGGAGGTTTTCTGTAATGATCACATCGTCTACAATAACAATATTTGAGTATCTTCCTTTACAATCTCAGTACATCTGGTTTTTCCCCCTTTCTGCACCAGCTATGACTCCCAGTATAGACTAGAATAGAAGTGACAATATGGGGCCGCTGTCATGCTCCTAAGGGGCTGGGCACCTTCGGCTCCAGCCCACCACCCCTGCCGCCCCCTCGGGGTCCTGGGATGTCTCTCCCTTCCAGCCGGCAGGAGGCTGACCTTTGAGGTGAAGGGTGCTGGGGCCCAGATGAGGAAGGGCTGGGCTCCCTGGTTCTGGCGTGCTTTCGGGGGGCAGGTTTCAGTGTGCCGGGTGGGGGTCTTCCGGATCCTTCACAAGCATTGGCGGCTCCCTGGGACTCCTGCAGTCTTCAGGGTCATCTGACCCCTTAGCAGCCAGCTCCTGACTTGTCTCTGTGGTGGCAGACAGATCACTTTGGAGTCAGTTTTGCCTGTGGGTACTGGGGATGCTCAGAATTTGCCTGGTGCCTGGGGGTACTGGTGATCCCCACTTATTTGTTTTATTTATTTACTCATACATTCATAAAATCCATTCACTAACTGATGTTATAAACAATAAGTACCCAGGAAGAGAGCCCCAATTCCAGAACAAAAACATGATTAATAATTTCATTTCCCTCTGTGTTCCTGTCCCCTAGAGTCTCCCCACCCTGGGGTGAGCAGAGTGACGGCTTCTGCTGGAAGCCCTGCGGGGCTCCGTCTCCCCAGGAATAAAGGCCCGAGTACAACAGGGCACCAAGGCGCCTTTTCTTGTTCCTGAACCCCCAGGTCGAGCCAAGAGTCGGCCTCTGAGAGCCCTGCCATAAGATGCGCAAATTGAAATAGGCCTGCAGAGGAAACCAGACGGTTTTTAAACCAGTGCTCCGGCACATGTGTGCTTCTCTCCTGATACATTAAATAATGAAATATACGTAAAACAGGCAAACGGGGCGGTCTGTTACTCGTGGACTCCCCTGCGAGGCTGGGTGGGGGGGCCTAGGCTCTACGGTCCCTCCTCGCCCCCTCGTCGCCCCGCAGCATGAGGAGGGTCTGCGTCCACTGCGGACGAGAGGTCGGGTGGAGGGACTGACGTCCAGCTGGCCCTGTGGGATTGTCACGTGGACCGTCGGGCAAAGCGAGTCTGGGGGGCCATGCTGCAAAGGGGTAGAGGGGTGAGTGTAGCTGCAGGGTGGGGGCTCAGGGAGTTATTCTGGCGAGACAGTCATAGCCTGGGTGTCAGGAGAGTCACGGGGGAGGGGGGAGCAGGCCCGAGGATGCTCCAGTGTGCCAGGCTCCCCAGAGACTGCTATCCTTTCACTGCTGTGTCCCAGCCCCTAGGACAGCACCTGGGACAGACGGATGGATGGATGGATGGAGGGACAGGTGGACAGATGGACTAACAGATGGACAATAGACAGCCCCCCACCTTAGCACAAAGCATTTCAGGTTTATTTAAATAAAAATTATAATTTATACAAGACTTTTTCTTTAAACAAACAAGGTTTTCTTAAAAAAATGTTACAGGGAGATTTTTTTCTTCAGTTCTTCATACAGTACAATCCTTTTGTTGAACAAAAGATACACTGGTAACGATTATTTACAGATCCAAAATAGACTCAGGCTTCAGACATAAAAAATTTAACATTCATTCTAGTTTAGAGATTAGTCGTAGAAATTAAATATCTGCCCAGATTTACACAATTCAATAAAAAGAACGGGTTCTCTCCAACAGGGAGCCCAGAGCCTGCACAGGTCCCCGCTCTTCCTGGCAAAGGCCCTGGGCTTCAGAGAGGGCCTTGCCGCTGGCCTCCTGAGTGACTCAGGCCAGAGCCCAGCCCCCCCGCATCCCTCGGGCCCCCCGGGCTGGGGCCAGGCACCTGCACCCCGACACGTGGCCAGTTTTCATCTCCCTTTCTCCTCAAAAGGGACTCGAACTAAACCACCCCACTCTGTTGAAGAAGCGAGTCCCCTTCCATGGCTGGCACCACCCCGCTGTGCTCGGGACAGAATCCCACCCTGCTCACGAAGAGGCGGACACTGATCCCCAGGTGGCCCCGGGAAAGGGGTCTGAGCAGCACCCACGGGCATCACCCCACAGCCCGGCCCCAGGGCAGTTCAGGGCCCATCCTGCCTTGCCTCGGGCATCAAGGGGGGTCTCGCTGGGGTGTGTCCCCAGGGTGTACCTGAGGCCTCTATGCGGCCCAGGAGAGCCGGTCCACCTGCACTGACCACGGGGGCCAACCAAGGGTTAGCGTGGGTTCTGCCTTCATTGATGAAAGGTCGACCTGCAGAGTCATGTGCCACCAAGGCCAGTGTGACCGAGAGCTGGGCGGGCGCCGTGGTCCCGCAGATGTCACCGACCAGGGGGGCTGTGTGCTTAATTGGGCTGGTGGGCGTGGCCCCCACAGCGCTCCCCAGGCCCCAGCATGTGGCCCTGCAGCGCCTATGTAGGGTGACAAGAGCAACGCCACCGATCTCTCACCCAAGCCAGAAATTAGGATCGGAGCAAAGGTAAAAATTACATCTGAAAAACGATACAAAAATAAGAAAAACAGCTTGCTCTCTGTAAAAAATATAATCTTCTGTTTCTTCAAAAAACAACAATCTCAGTGACATCCAAAGGACTCAGGACAAGCCGAGAACTGGAGTAACCTGCGTGGGAGAGTGTGCTGACCAGGAGGGGCCACACTGACCCACCGCGATCCCGGCTTCCTGGGCGGGTGGGGCCCAGACACGAGCCCGGTACCGGGAGGGGCAGTGGCGTGGGTTCGTGCCGGCAGGGAACACCGTCAGACGTCACAGGTGCCGACTGCCGGCCCCAAACTTCTGTGCTCTGCTCGCAGTCACACCCCAAAGCCTGTGACCTCCCAAGCGTCCTTGCACAGCCCACACGGGCAGGGCATCCACGGACCTGGGCCACCGTGGGCCTGGGACGCTCCTGCCCACGCCCTCCCCCAACACCGGGTGGCTGCAGCCTGGATGCCAGTGCCGGTCTCACTATGGTGGATTTTCATCTGAAAGCAGTGGAATCTGAGTGCCCCCAAAAGCCTCAGTAGGTGTTCTGGGCCTTTCCAAAGAGCAAAGTATTAAAAAAATGTGCTTCTACCTACACGCCACTCTGTATCCTCATTAGTCACCAACACAGGCTTCCTGGCCAGCCCATCAGGCCGAGATGGCAGGTGGCCCGGACGGGTGGTGGGGCCCCTCCCCGCCAGCCCTTGATGCCCCCACAAAGGCCGAGCACAGAGCGCAGGCCAGATTGCACTCTGAGGACACGCTGCAGGGTGTCTCACTGAAGGAAGGAGCAAGACCGACTGACTCGTTTATGGTGGTTGGTGAAGGGGCCTCCATGTCACTTGTCACCGACGTCCTTCACAGCCAGGAGGAGTGTGTGAAGGACACGCTCCTCCGCTATGGCTTTGGTGTGGAAGAGCTTCTGGCCTCCAGAGAGCCGGGCTGCGCGGCTGGTGCTGGTCTCTCTGTCCAGGTGGGGACACAGAGGAGCAGCTGTGCTGGGGTGGCAGCTGGGGTGCCGTGTCTCCTGTGTATCATCCTGTCCAGTGGCCTCCGAGGATCCCCTGCCCTCCGTGTCCACAGATGTCTGTGAGACGTGCCTCCGCCACTGGGCGGGCCGGCACTGTCCCTCGAGAGCCCTGACCCCTGCGTGAGGGGTCTGTGAAACGCAGGATCAACATAATAGAAACCACAGATCGAGGGGAATTATTGCAAAAGATCACGAGGATGTCCAATTTTTTTCCCACTACCAAATTGTTAAAAAAGAAAGAAACTTCCAGCAATGTCCCAGAGAGTCGACACTAGCTGTCGCTGCCCGACGCTGCGGCTGCTGTGATTTTCATGTACTGGTTGAAAATGGTCTCGAAGGCCTCGTCTCTGTGCACCATGGCGCCAAACACCAGCGGCTGGAGGAGGAAATGCGGCTTGAGGACAAGACCACACCAGGTTTGAGGGGCCCCCGGCCAAGCCCACGCAGAGCCACACGGGGTCTGGGCACACAAGGGCAGACCAGGAGGCTGGGCTTCAGAGAAGCCGAGGCAAGAGGCAGGGGCCGGGCTCCCAGCTCCACCCTCCCTGAGTAACGCTGCTGGGCAGACCCCGTGGGCCTCAGCCTCCCGGACCAAACTGGACGCAGCAGCAGGTTCCTGCTGCCACGAGGCGGGTGGGGGTGCCTTCCACCCAGCGGAAGCCCCGGCCGGTCTGTGGCTCTGAGCTCGTCCCAGGATGCCCAGAGCCACAGTTCTGGGCCCACCCACCGTCTCCCTGGCCACCCGCCTGCCTGGGACTTACTTTCTGGGTGGATGGTGTCGACACGGCAATGCCCATGCCCGACCCCGGGAGGACGGAGAGGACCTTGTACTGAAAGACAACAGCACGCCTGTCACCACGGGCCTCTCTTGGGGATAGGGCCATGCCACCCTCCCCACACCTCAGGCCATTCTCCTCCGTGGAGCCCACAGACAGCAAGACCCACGGCGGGCCCAGGATTTCCCAGCCACAAGAGAGAGGACTGACTTTGTGACTGAAAAAGCAGACCTGCAAACACTCCATCCCACCCTGTCCCAGCCAGCCAGCAGGCCGGCCCCCGAGAGGCTTGGGGTCTCTCTAAGGAGCACCATGTGTGGGGGATGGGCCTCAGCAGGGCAGGCCGGGAGGACCCTGCCCCATCGCACTCCTTCTGACCCCACCAACCACACATCCTCTCTCCAGAGCAGAGGGACCCATAACAGCTGTGGGGGTGCTCCTGACATGCCAACAGAGGGAGGGAGAGCCGCCCAGCTGACTGCTGGGGCCCACGGCATGGCCTGGCCTGCCTGTGCCCAGGATGCTCAGAGCCAGGGGAGGGGGAGCAGGTGGGGGCCACCTCCACCAAGTGTCCTCGGGGCACTGGGCACACCTGCGCCCATTCCACGTGACGGTATGAGGGAAACTAGCTGGACAACGCCGAGTGGCGACAGTGTCTGTGCCCTCACCTAACCGTGCCCTGGGGCCTCGCGGTCTCAGGGACGAGGGGGATCGCACAGTGGACAGAGCCGGCTCAGGTGCCTGACCACCGGGCCCACCTTGCTGTGCTCTCCCTTCCCATCTGTGTGAGGGCACCACAGGAGGGGGGAGGCAAAGGAAACAGCCCTCGGTGTGTGGACGCTCTCTGACGGGAGCTGAGGGGGTTTGCATGGAGCCTTCTAGAAGGGGAGCCCTCACACGGGCAACAGCAGCGCCTGTGGAGTCCCCAGATGACGCCCGCCTCACTGTAAATGTGTCCAACCAAACCCACCAGCTGTGCAGCCCTGTGGCCTCCCTCTTCCTGAAACCAGAGGGGGTGACGGGATGGCGGGGGGCGACAGGACGGCGGGACGGCAGGGGCGGGGCCACACCCACCTTCTGGATGTCTGTGATGTCCACCAGCTTGATGACTTTGTTCCTCTTGGAAGAGCCCGATTTGGAGCTCTCGAAGCACAAGTAACTAGTGAGAAACAGGCAGAGCCAGCAACTGAGCCAGGGGTCCTGACCGGTGCCGCCACCACAGCCCCCTTGGGGAGAAGGCCACCCCACACCTGCCACCATGCCCTGGCCTTTGCAAAAGAGTCCACTTTTAGAAAGAGTTTCATAGGGCCGGCCCCGTGGCTTAGCGGTTAAGTGCGTGCACTCCACTGCTGGCGGCCCGGGTTCGGATCCCGGGCGTGCACCGACGCACTGCTTCTCCGGCCATGCTGAGGCCACGTCCCACATACAGCAACTAGAAGGATGTGCAGCTATGACATACAACTATCTACTGGGGCTTTGGGGGAAAAAATAAATAAATAAAAATTCAAAAAAAGGCATTTAGATTAAAAAGGAAGAATAAAATTATCTCCCTTAGGAGATAACAAAATCTTGTATGTAAAATATCGTTAAGTAATCCACTAAAAAAAAAAAAAAAACTATTAGAACAAATAAACAAGTTCAGCAAGTTTCCAGGATACAAGATCAATATACAAAAATCAATTGTATTTCTATACAATTGCAATGAACAATTCAAAATGAAATTAACAAAACAATTCCATTTACAACAGCATCAAAAAGAAAAAAAAAAAGAAAGAGTTTCATAGCTTTTAAAGATTAAAATCCACCGCCCTACACTGACCCCGACACACGTGCCCATCTCGTTAGAGTCCTTGGGACGCCCAACGAGAGATAGGAGCGTCCCTGAGGCCTGGCGGGGGGTCGGTCCAGTTCCTTCAGCGAGGGGGACAGAGGGACACATGGGCCCTTGGCAGCTGTGAGTGGGGGACGGTTGGCTGAGGGCCCCCAGGGCTATGGACAGACCCCGCCCCTGGACCTGCTCCCCACTTCCCCCAGCTGGGGGGCAGCGTCAGGGACGAGCTCACTGAGTCTCGTCCTGGGGGGAAAAGGCCCCAGCAGGAGAGTAGCAGGGACCTCCTGCACCTCGGGGCTCCGGCAGGTGGAAGCACGTCCACATGACTCCGTGGCAGTTCCGTGTTGCCCCACTACAAGCACCCCAGACCAGAGTGTCCCTGCGGGTCTGGAGAGGTGACGGCGCGGCTGGCCCGGCCACGTCCCACTCAGAGGCAGTACTGGCTGCCCCTGGGAGGCAGGAGAGCCAGCGGGGGCGGCACAGGGAGACGGGGCCTGGGGAGGAGGCTCCTCTGCCCTCGGTCACACCCAGAGGTCACGCCTGGAGGTCACCCCGGGCCCTGCAGCCGGGTCTCGGGAGCGCATCGGCCTCACTCACTTCTCCGTCACGTACAGCACGCCGTTCCTGATGTAGTCTGTCGGCATCTTCCGGTCTCGGTTTATCAGGCAGCAGCGCCAGCCGTTCTCACACACTGACGGGGACAAGACCGACTCGTCATTCTGTCCCACTGGAAGCACCCCTTCCCCGCCCCAGGTTTGACGTTGGGACCCATCAGCATGGGTTTTACAAAGATGCACCGACACACATTCTCCACCAGCAGATAAAACCCAGGGAGGGGAAGTGGCCGTCAAGAATGAAGTGGCATCTAAGAGCATCCAGAAGACAGATGCTTCCTTTTCCACAGGAATATGCAGAGGTTTTGTTTTTGTAAAGGAAAAGCACACAATTTAAATAGGGCAGTAAAACAAATCAAACTGCAGCCACGACCCTGAGTGCACGTTCTCAGGGGCTGGGTCAGCAGGACAGGGTTCAGGAGGAGGTCAGAACTCGAATTCTCCAGTTTTCTTTTCCAGGTTGGTATCACCCACAGCGGACAGCCAAAATATTTGCAAGGGCCCAACTCCCCGAGAGCCGAGCACTTCAGGAGTTTGGGGGGTCCTTTCCAGGAGGCTGACCCGGGACCCGGGTTCCTGGGTTGCCTTTCACTGCACGGTGATCCAGAGGCCACAGCCCGGCCGTGCCCGGGGTCACGGTGGTGGGGTGGGGTGGGGCGGGAGAAGGAAGGACCTCAGGGAAGCCCCTGCCTGGGCCGCTGAAGCCAGCAAGCAGCACGGAGCCACTGTGGGCCTCTCTGCCGGGGGCGGGCCCGTCTGAACTGCCATTAGACTGTTCATTGCTGAGAAGGTCAGCTCCCCACGTGGGCCGGGAGCACGCCCTGCTCCTCCAACCCGCCTGCCCAGAAGGTCCAGGAAGCAGGAGGCGGGGAGCCCTCCTGTGGCCCTGATGGCCTGTCCCCGCCATTGGGGCCCCTGGCATGGGGTGGGGCAACCCCACCTGGCCAGGCCAGGTCACAGACTCATCACACACATACCTGCCAGCGGACGCTCGTTTTCTGTCAAGTTAAAGATTTCATGGAAATTGCCCTTCTTGGTGCCGTGGAAACGACCGGCGTCCTCGTCCTTACTCAGGCCGGCTGGCGCACTGGACACGTAGCTCCGTGAGGAGGCTGTCTGCAGCTGCCAAGAGCACACCACATCCCGTCAGCCGCGCCGGCAGTGGGGGGACAGAGGGGCCAGGCACACCACCACCCCAGCTGCAAACTCAGACGAGTGATCAGGCACATATGCCCAGTCCTCAGCCCACGAGCCCCCTCCTTCTGGGCAGAGAAGCCCACTGCAGTGGGGAGACTCTCTCTGGCCCCTGGCACCGTCCCCACCCAGATCGCCGCAGCTGAGCCTGCGCCCCAGCCCACGCAGTCCAGGTACTGGCGAGGCAGTCAGTCAGATGGACACGTCAGAAATCAGATCTGGCCCCGGACAGGCCACAGAGAGCAGCGTTAAAAAGTCAGTCACAACACGGCAATGCAAGCATCGGGTCACAACAGGAGGAGTGGCTTCCACACGGACTCTGTACCTTGTCATGCCCTGACAGCTGGCCGGAAAGGAGACCACGGACACACGTGTGACCGAGACAAAAGAAAAAGTGGGTCCATGTGATGCGAGGTCATAAACACACGGTGAGCAGAGCTGTAAGCGCAGACACACGGGCCCACACGACACTTCAACAGGGGAGCCCTCCATCCTGGGAAGCCCACATCCTCATCCCCTTCGCTCTCTCTCGAGAGTGGCCAACACTCAGTGGTCCTGACCCCCAGGCAGCCCCCACCCCAGCCACCCCAGGACTAGGACGGGCCCGTCTCCTGCCATGCCGTTAGGGAGCCAGGCTGCCTGCCTCTGTGGCTCTTCCTCGAAACCACCCCCATCTGTGTGCCGGAGCCCATCCCTGGCTCACTGAGGTGGAGGCTGCCCACGAGCGCCCAGCTGTACACCCAGCTGAATGAGTTCAGGCTCCCGACAAGCTTTGCTATCCCAGAATCCAGGGAGCCTGATCCACACGTGACCCAGAGCTTCCCTCCCCTCAATGGGTCACTGCACACCGTCTCCTCAGCAGACACTAACGTGCAACACTGCAATCCAACGTCACCTCCTCTAGGAAGCCCTCCTAGACCTCCCTGGGAGTCCTACTGGGCCCAGAACCTCCCCACTTGTCTGAGACCCCAAGAGAGCACCTAGGCCTGGCTCAGGGCACGGTGCCTGATGCCCATCTGGCCTTCCGCTGTGAATGAAATACGGGCCCGGGGCCAGCCCAGGAGCACCACATGGGTGCATCTCAGTTGCTGCTTGGCCTTGCTGCCCGAGACTCAGCGCTGGGGACAGTGGGGACCCAGAGCCCACTCACAGAGTGGTCACTCCCAGGGGTCCCCCCTTGCAAGGCCCCCAGGCTCCTGGCAGTCATGACCAACACCCCACACCCTGCCTGCCCTCCACCTGGGGGCCAGTTGGGCTCAGTGGGGCCCGCTCCCCTGTGAGTGTGTGGGAGGGTCCCCTGGGGGCCTTCAGGCAGGTGGGGGCGTCCCCAGCAGCCATCCCCTGCCCAGGGCTGGCCCTCAGAGACGAACAGAGGGATGGATGGACCTTCGAAACAGCAGAGCTGGCTCACAGGGAAAACCTCCACCGGGTTTTAAGCTGTTTGTTTCAAGGGCGCCATAAAATGGGACGTCAGCTTCCCCTCAGGCCGGGAGAGGGTGACTGAAGCGAGAGGGCCGGGGCCTCTCCCAGTCCAGCCTCAGGCCGCTCACCCTGCGCGACACGGCGGCAGCGCTGGAGCGCTCTTTGAGCTGGGGGTCCGTGGGCAGGCTCTTCCAGATGATATAGGGAGTGTCGTACTTGGCACGCAGTCTCGGGCAGCGTTTGAAGATAAAATCGATGAGGAAAAACTTGATTCCGGCATAGAGTCCTGGAGGGGGAGGACACAGCCCATTTCATCCAGGACCGTGCGGCTGTGCCATCCGCTCAGGATGGCGGCCCCGCACCTCCCGCGCTGGGGCCCCTCGGCGCTCTTTGGGGAAAGAGTGCCCAGGCCACGCAGAGGGCCTCCTGGAACCCAGGTGTGGGAAGGTGGCCCTGGTGGGGTGACGCGGGGCAGGGGAAGTGACCCCAGCAAAGGGGGGGATCCACTTCTGTGTTTCGTTACCTCCACCAGGAGGTGGCTGAGGCCAAACAACGAAACTGTCTCCAAAGCCAACCAAATGCACAACCATGCACTACCGCCCCCAGGGCGACTCACACAGAGGAAACGGGAACCCGTCCCCAGCGTGCCCGTCTCTGACCAGGTGGACTGGCAGTTATGGCCGTGGGCTGCCCCCGGGTCTGAGTGCCAGTGTCAGCCCAGTTCACAGGGCCAGGAGGACATTTTATGTTCGTTGGCTTCTGTCATTTTCCCCACAGCCACATCATCTGCCAGCCCTGCATTCCCAGGCGACGGGTGCAGGGAAGGTGCCAATGAAAGACCGAGGACCCTCTGCACATCGGGGGGCCAAGGGTGGGTCAGAGCAGCGCTCAGACCATGAGACCCCGTAACAGCGTGGCCACTGCTCTCAACGCCCCAGCTCAGATCTGGCCCCCACCACAGCACCCGCCCATCACTGCGGACAGGCCCTGCCAGCTACAGGCGGAGACGCTGAGGCCGGGAAGACCCTGCTGCCCACAGTGGGTCAGGGCTCAGGGTCTGGCCTGGGGAGGAGGGTGCAGATTCCTGGGGGAGCAGAGCTGAGGGGGGTGGGGCGGCCTCAAGACCACGGCCTTGGCCTTGGCGCAGCCTCTCCACCTGCCAACACCTGAGCAGGGCCGTGCCCCAGGTCTGATGCAGCCCCTTTCCTCCCAACCCTGCTGAGGTCTCTGGGTTTCAGATGGGCTTCACTTCTCCCAAATTTAAATGTTCTGATAACAAGCCACTGGACAAGGTGCAGGGGAAGGAATGCCAGTGTGAGTTAACAGCTGGCCTCCTCCCTGGAGGCACGCAGTGTCGGGCAGGTGTTCTGGCGGGAAGACAATGCCCAGGTGCTCCCTGTGCAACACTTAACCATGCGCATCAGCTCTGACCCGGTGCGAGAGCCGTGTCCCCTTACCCACAGCTAGCCCCACCAGGCGGTAGGGGAGGAAGCAGGAGGCAAGGAAGGCGGCCCACAGTGCGACGTACAGCTTCTGCGTGATCTCGGGCTGCACCCACATGAACAGGCTGCAAGGGAGACGGGAGGTTCAGCTGGGTGGGGGGGGCCGCACCCCAGACACAGCAGGCCCGGGGCTGGTGACTTACTTCTTGATCTTTTCCAGGATGTCGGCCATCTTGCCAAAGAGGTTCTGTGTGAAGAAGAAACTGTGGTTACAACAGACCCCAAGGCCGTTGGTCCACACGGCAACGCTGGGAGGGCCCAGGTTCATGGGCTGGCCGGAGACATGCAGCTCCCATGAGACCACAGCGGGGCACCACTGAGCCTAGGGATGGGGTGACGGGTCCCGCCTGAGGCCCAGGTTAACGCGCTGATAGTGACAATGGCCCCAGGCCTGCGTCCCTCCCAGGAGCTGTCTTAACTCTGCCCAGGAGGGGCTCCAACCGCCAGGATGCTGGCTGTCAGACTGAACCAGGAGGACCCTCCCCACCACTCAGGGCCATCTCAGGTGTGGGGGAGGGATCAACAGGCAAGCCGACTGCAGGTCCGCTGACGTCAGACAAGCCAGACCTGGAGTTTCAGGGTGCTGGGCCCCAGTGGATAAGGTCGGGGCCCGACGACAGTACCTGAGCTTTCTGGGCAACGTCCAGCACGAGCTGGAACTTCTCAGACACGGTCAGGTCTTCCTTTGGAGGCTCCTTCAGTCAAAGGGGAAAGAGAATTTCCACTGAAATTTAACAGTTCAGAAAAGTTACTGACATAAACAGCACAGAAACCTCCCAGCCCCGGGACCGGGGTCACTCTGCTGCCCCCACACAGCCAGAGGGACGGACGTCCCTGGGGACCCAGCACAAGGGGGCCGGCACAGGGCGGCTGCTCTGGCAGACACCCCTTTGGAACCTGAGAGGGTGGTGGGCAGCAGGCAGCGCACTCAGTGGGCAGGGCTGAGGCTCCAACTCACACCTCAACGGCTCACCTTCAAAGGTGCATCTGACCTCACCCTGCTTGTCTGAGTTCATTCAGCAAGAAGCTCCTGAGTTCCTGGCCTGGGTACAAGGGCCGGGTGGGCACAGGCCTGCCTCCCCTCAGACGCCCTCCCTGACCCCTGTCTAAGGAGGTCCTACAGGCACCACTGTGCCCAGCACTCCTACTGCGTGCTCCATGCACACAGTAGGTGCTCAAACCTCTGACGAGGCCCATGGAGGCACCAAGGTGTCCCTCCTGCCCACGACTGGCGGTTCCACCCCATGGGCCAGAGTTCCCCCCTACAGCAGGGTCAGCAAACGTTTTTCTATAAAGGCCCAGACAGTAAAACACGTGTGGCTCTATGGGCCATGCAGTCTCAGTCATAGCTACTTACTTCAGCCGTTGCAGCCCCAAAGCAGCCACAGCATGCCTCAATAAATGGGCATGGCTGTGTGTCAATAAAACTTTTATAAAATCAGGGGGTGGGCCAGAGGTGGGCTATGGTCGTAGCTTGCTGATCCCTGCTCCACAAGCACCCTGGTCCGGCCCACTGTTCACCTCCCTCCACAGGAGGCTGTGAGAGGCTATAGCAGCCCCCTCACTACCTCCCCCTCCACCACATCACACTTTGGCTGGGAAGGGGCAGTAGGACAGACTGGCTCAGGACAACCTGCTTCAGGAGCAGCCAAGGCTGAGCCAGTAGTGGGTACTGGGGGGTCATCAGCCAGAAAGAGGTCAGAGTGCAGCTGCCAAGGGCTCCGGGCTGGGGGGCGGCTGGCCTTCTCATCCCCGCCCTCTCCTCGCCAGGCAGGGCTCCAAGCAGGCGTCCACACAGCTGCATCTGGAGGCCTTGGGGTACCTGCGGCCTCCTGCACAGGGCAGCAGCCCAAGGCCTGACCTGGTGGAGACGGAGACCTTCGCCCTCCCAGGACTTACCACAGCTTCGGACACTTCTGGCACGATGCTCCACTGTATCCTCCAGCCCCTGGCAAACAGGAGACAACCACACACCTGTAAAAGCACGTCGCCTGCAGGTGGCGGGCAGAGTTAGAGGGACGAGGGCCCATCACCAGCCCTGAGCTCCCATGAGCTGGGGGTGGGGAGGGCACCCTGAGATGCCAGCCGTGGGGATGGGGGGCTGTGGATACCACCAGGGCCACTCCTGGGCTCTTGAGAATGGATGATTCAGGCCACCCTCCCCGGCCCTCCCTTGGGGGCCCTCCTGGGGCAGGGACACATTTAAAAGCCCTTAGAGGTGATGGGGCGAGAGGCCTTTCAAATAAGTCAGTGTAGCATCAACAGCAAGTGCTTTCACTAATCACGGCCCGTCTGCCCAGACGGCCCCGTCATGGGTGTTTAAAGGGTTTCTTTGCTACAAAAAGCACTTGCAAAGGAACCAACGTACCGAGACATAGAGAAGCGCCTAGAAAAATCAGTGTGCACAAGTGTGAACTTTTGAAGGGCTGAGTAAAAACACTAACGGAGGTCTCTCCTCAGGCCCGGGGGATGCTGAGGTTTACTCTGCTGGGGCGACCACAGGTTTGGACAGACCCAGGCAGGCCCAGGGACGAGGGGTCTTTGCCTAAGTGTGCTGGCTCCCAAAAGAGCACCCCACCCCAGCCTCGAGCGGGGGCGCTCGGAGAGCACAAAGGGGAGACACCCTGTAGCACCAGGGCTTGGTGACCGTTAACCAGCTCACTCTGCATCCTAGTTCCTCTTCAGCATGTGCATCTAGACTAGCAGGGACCCCCCCAGGGCAGAGCCTCCGAAGCTCCATCAACCCCCACTGGGATGTCATCGCTGGGGTTTCGAGGGGCACTTTCCTGCCAAGATGCAGCACGATCGGCAGAGGGGCTGGGGTGACCATGCAGCTGGCACCCGCTGGCCACTGGGGAGTTTGGGAATTACACATTGCCAGCTCCAACAAACCCGGTGGGGGTGGGCATCCAGAGGGTTCAGGAGCCAGTGAGAGGACAACCCCCCAAAATGCCAGTGCATGAGGCAGAGCTGGCTCAGCACGTGCCACAGCTGTGCGTGTGACGCAGGAAGACAGCACAGCCACACACATAGGACAAACCAGCTCACCTACCTGGCTATGAGGTAATTGAGGGATAACCTCAAAATTGCTAGAAATAAGAACATGGGGATGGCCCAGCCATGCCACACGGCATTCATGTACACCTGCGGGTTTGGAGAGAAAGCGGGTGGGGAGGGAGACGGTTAGGCAACCTGACAGTGTGGTTCGGGACAGGCCACATCCCCCCCTGCACCTCGGCTAGGCAGGCCGCGCTTGGCAGGAGACCAGCCCCCAGCGGCTCTCCAAACGCCCCAGGATGAGGGCATGCGCTGCAGGGAAGCCCGGAGAAGGCTGCCTTCTTGGTAAGAGCTGCCAGGGGAAGGCAGACACCCGCTTCGGGAGGGGGTGGGACGGAGAAGCTGCTGTGAGTGGGCAGGGAGGGAGCATGTCCCAGGGAAGCAGCTCTGGACATGGCCCAGGATCGGGAGAGAGAGCTGACCCCACGCAGAGGTCTTGCCCACCCCAGGCACAGCTCCCTCATGCTGGCGCTGGAGGCATCACCAGGACTCAGGACTGGCTGGGAACCCAGGTATGCAGCACGTGCCAGGCACAGTGCCGTGGGGCCCTCACCCTGATCCCGCCCGTGCTTGGCACAGGGCTGCAAGCAGAACAGGCGCTCAGAAAGGGGCAGGGAATGGAATGCAATGGGGTTCAGGCGGAGGCCAGGAGCGGGGTCGGGATAGCAGGGCTCATCTCTTAGCAATAACAGACACGGACAGACTAAGGTATGTGTTGACCCAGAGCACAGAAGGCCTCACAGAGCAAATAGCTTGTGATGGGTGGACAGAGAGGACCCCTGGGTGAAGGTGGGGCTGTGCCCTGCCACCTTGGCCTGTCCTCTGTGAATGTGCAAAATGCCCATCTCCCGGGGGTTGGTGGGCCCTAGGGCAGGCACCAGGCCACGGGCTTCAGGGCGGCCCTCAGGACCCTCTTAGGCTGAGGCCATCCGGGAGGCCTCTGCAGAGATGGGGCATTTGGGAGCTGTGGCTGCCCCCCTCTGGCCTCGGGGCCCCACAGGCAGGTGGGTGGCCTGTGTCCTCCTCCCACTGGACGGGAGGGTCTCCCTGCGCAGGGCTGGGGGCAGCCACCGCAGGACGATTCAGACAGGGCAGCCGGGCCTGTTTTCCCCAAAGCATACCACGATGCTGGCCCGACACCTCCCGTCCTGCCCAGGCCCGGCGGCTCACAGAGGCCTGGCTTGGCCACAGGTCACTGTGCGCCGGCCAGGAGCCATGCCCAGCCTCCGACACCTGGTGGGAGGGACCCTGGGTTCTATACAGGCAGATAAGACTCCCCGCCGCCCTCTCCTGACCCATCCAGAGGCCCCTTCCTGTGAATGCTGCTGTGGGGGATGCCTCTGGGCAGACAGGGAGCCTGCGGGCGGCCCTGGGCCACACCCATGCCCTCATCTGTTTCTCGAAACAACACCCCGCGTCATTACACCCACTTTACAGATTGAGAAACTGAGGCTGAGCAGGTCCCTGGGGCTGTCCCCCACAGCATGGGGTGGGTCCCTTGGGAAACCTCAGGGAGGGTGCCCGCCCCGCAGGCAGCACTCACGGTGAAGGCGATGGCGGATGTGTAGACGGAGTACCAGTCGGATAAGGCAGAGAGATTCTTCACAAAGCTGGTGACAGGCTTGGCACCGCGCTCTGGGGACAGAACAGGCCGAAGGGTCAGGCCAGCGCTCCCCAGTCCTCGGGCACACCTGGGAGGTCAGGCTGGCCGCACCAGCTTGATGGGGAACCAAAACGAGCCAAGCAACCCCAAATGATGCAGGCTCCTGGCACGCCTGACCCCTCGGCCAGCGCTCCCTGGCACTCCCGGTGCTGTTCACTGTCCCCTGTCCCCCAGGGAGATGCCGGCTGTCTGCAGCCCCCACGTCCGTCCTGCAGACAGGAGAAGGGGGAGCGGGGGGGTTCCCACCCCCTGCGTGTATCTAGGGAAAGCCCCCCTCTGCTCTCAAATGCTGAGGCTCCCGGCCTGGAGGGAATCTGTGCGCGGCTGCGGGGAAGGGCGGCTAGAGGCGGCTGCATCCTCTTTCACCCAGACTGACTGGGGGGCCGTGGACACCCTTCCAACAGGAGCCTTCCTCCTAAGGAATTCTTGAAAAACACCTTTCTGGAAAGAAGCCCAGCTCAGCAGGAGATGGCAGAGCCCCTGCGCAGGCCGCCCCTCCCACTCCCAGCTCGGCAGCCCCACCCAGCCACCGGCCTGCAAATACTCACTCAGGCGCCTCATGTTCTCCGTCAACCTAGGAGAGAGGGGACAGAGAGGTTAGTGCTGCGAAGCACCTCTGCCACCGCCCCTGACGCCCGCACCTGCTGCACATGGATCACAGAGTGGCTCTGGGAGGCAGGAGCAGCCGGTGGGGACCTCACTGCTGCTCCCTAAGCTGGCCAGAGGGTCTCATCTATGGACCAACCCTCATCAGCCCACAGCCCCAAGAACCAGAGTCCTGTAGAGTGGGGGGGGCCTGGCCCATCGGGCGCCCTCAGAATCCTCAGGGCGGGGACCCACAAGGAAGGCACAGGCTGTGGGCACCTGGCCCCAAACCCTGGTCTCCACGCAACGTTTGTCACAAAGCATGAGACCAGAGAGTGGGGGCTGTGGTGCTAATGCCCATGGTGGAAATGCCCCAGGAGACCCCCTGGGAGGCCGGACAGCTGCCTGGGAGAGGGGACAGCGCCCCCTCGAGGCCCCGCTGAGCCGGGACGGCTCTGAAGCCCGGGGAGGGCCCACCTGCGGGCGCTGAGCGGCTCCTCCGTCTCCACGGCGCTCTCCTCGGGCTGGAAGCGGAAGTCCTCCACGTACTCCCCGAACCTCTCGTAGAACCACTTCTGGACGCGGGGGCATAGCCCCTGGCTCCGGCGGTCTGCGGGGACGAGGCGGGCGCCCCAGGGGGCGGTGAGACACGTGGGCCCGCAGGGGGCCTTGCAGGAGCAGGGTGGGGGACACGAGGGGTGGGCCCAGCTGCAACACGCTGGGGCTTCCTAAGAGCTCGGGAACCAACACTGAAGGGCACGGCCCCCCCAACACCGGGCTTGACCCGCTGCCACCACGAGGCGAACCATCAATGCAGACCACATGGGGTCTCCACGTGTCACATCAACCCCCGAGCAGCAGGTGCCATCCAGGAAGGCTCTCAGCCCGCCGTAGGGTCTGCGTCCACATCCCTCCCTCTCTTACTGGGCACACTGGTTTGTCTGGGAAGTGGGTGGGTGAGCTCACTCCCCGGGACCCTGCGGAGCGGCCAGTGGGCGTGTGCCGGGGACTGTGGCCTGGTGGGGGCCCAGTAAGTGAAGCGGCCTCTGCTCACCCATGGTCGAGACCTTTAGAAAGGGACCCACTTCACAGACTCAGAACGCGAGCACATCTGTGCAGACCAGTCTATCCCTTCAGAAGGCAGGTCGTGGAGTTGCCTGCAGGGGGCGCTATACCACCACAATTAAGGAGAGGGGATGGCGTGGAGGTGGTTGGTCAGAGGACAAGGGGGGCCGAGGCTCGTGCACACAGAGGCCACCCAGCACAGAGGAGGGTGGGGAGGGCCTGGGGGCTTCTTGCACCCTCACTGGAGTATGACAGGGTTTTTAGGGAGGGTCTAGGCGGGGGTCAGCAGACTAGTCAATGCTGTAACCCCCTTGATCGCTCGAAAGCAGCGTGGACAGAACATAATCTCATGGGCACGCCTGTTTTCCCACGAAACGGTACTTATGGACACTAAAATGTGAAATTCGTATTCTTTTGGTTTTCTCCAACCACTTAAAAATGTAAAAACACTTAAAAAAATAACGTAGAAGGAACAGGGGCTGTAGTTTGCTGACCCCCAGGTCCAGGTTAGGTCTGCTGCCTGGACAGACAGGTTTCAGGGTGCTCCTGAGCCCCTGCCGCCCAACACCATGCCACCCCCGGAGAGCACCACGCAGAGCACCTGTCCCCAGCCCCCGCATCCCCAGGGCCGCACTCGGTGGGGCTCCTCCCTCCTTCCACCCACTCCCCAGCCCCCACACACAGCCCACCACACCAGGGACCACAGCTATCAGAATGGCCCTTGGTTTGAGGACAGGCCCTCAAGTGGGGGACGGGGCCATGGGGACCCACGGAGTTGGGGTCTTTCCACCCCACACGTCTCTGATACTTCCCATGCATGCAGGGGGCTCATCAATTGCCACACGGGGTTCTTTGGGGTCTCTTGTGCAGTTCCTGGCTTGGAACCTGGGCTGCCAGCGTGGAGCCCAAGGGCCCAAGGAGACTACCACCCGCAGGACGCAGCAGCCAATCCTCTCCCTGGTGGCCCTGCCTGCAAGTCCAGCACTGGGGGCCCCAGGAATGGACATATGCTGTCTTCCCCGCTGGAAGGCAGGCAAGGCCCTGAACTGGGTGAGGGAGGGGGTCAGGACCCCACTCTGGTCCAAGCTGGGCCTCCATCTGGCAGGTGCCCCCAAGAGAGGCCTTCCCTCCTGGGCCTCAGTTTCCTCATCTTTATACCAGGCAGGGCTTAAACCTAAGGCTCTTCCAGTGTAACTCTCTGAGCTCCACCCGTACAGGCAGGGGGCTTCCCAGGACTGGTCAGCCTGTGGGAATGGGTCCCAGGTCTGAAGACACGTGTGCCAGCGCCCACCATGGATCAGCCCCTTGAGAATCGGGTGGAAAATCCCGTTTCCTCCGCCATCCTCTGAACGACAGTTTTAGGGAGTGCAAAGCATGGAGTAAAATAAAGAACAGGAGCTCAGGGTGGGAAGAAAAGGCACAGAGAGAAGGGCTCTGTGTCCTGGTCTGGGGAAGGCTGGGGCACATCCCGACCACGGCCGCAGCCACCGCCTACTCAGCCCCTGGTTGGGACGACCACTGGAAACAGGCCGCCACGTGAGTGGCCACGTAGCCACTGTGACAACATTACTTCTATGTGGGGAAGGGCTGACATAGATACCATGTCGTATTTTTACAAGAAAATAAAATCCCGTTTTGGTTGAATGGCTTGTCTTCTATGACGATGCACCAATTCATAATGAGAGACGCTGACCCATGTCCGATGGGAGGGGACCCCAAGATGTGAGCAGACGTGCCCGGGAACAGAACCAACACCCACCACCACTACCCACCCTGGCCACCCGCCGGGGCCTACCTGCTCCGTTGTTGACCTGGGCCTGCCCTTTTGGAGGCTGCTGAGCTGACTGCTCCTCGGTTCTTAAAGAGGGGAGAAGAAGCAAGACTTCTGTTAGTTCAAAACTCGATGTGAGTCTGGGCTACACGAAGTTCCAGTGCTCACAGGGAACCGTACTGTACACAACAGTGATCCAACCAGCGGGCTCTCCCTGGACCCTTACCGCTCAAACACTTCTTATGACGGGAGGGGGCAGCACAGAGCTGCACACGTCACGGGCACGCTTTTTGTTTTCTAATGACCCAATAAATAGTGTCTCATACACATACCACTCTTTTCTTCCCTATTAAGTTTAACACGTTTGCTTATTTCTTTATTGTTAAGCTCAGAATAAATTGCTCTTATATTACTAATTAAGTGACCTGCTAATGAAATGATACTGATCAACATACATATTTAGCAAGCACCATGCAAAGCCACAGGCTGGGTGACCCCTGACCCCAGCCAGCTGTGCCCAGGTCCCCGCTAGGCCAGCGCCAGCCACCTGCCTGGCTTCCTGCCCACGAAGCCCAGCCACACCTGACCACAGCAGTCACCTGGCCTCAGGGCCCCCTCCTGAAGTTTATGTCCACCTGCCAGATCCTAATTATAGATCTGACTTTCAGCCACAGGCTCTGACAGAGCTGGCCCCCAGCTGCTGGCCTGGCTCCCACCCCCAGGGTGATATCCCTGTCCCCATGCCCTGGCCAGCCTACCTACCTGCCTTGCCCTGCACTGGCCTGGGCTACAGACGCCCCACAATGTTTCTGGGGTTCCCAATCAGGCAGGGACCACAGGATGTGGGATAAGTGGTGCCCCAGGCAAAGCTTGGATGGTTGGCGGGGGGCAGCGTGGCGGGGGCTTATAACCCATCACTGCTATGTCGTGCTGGGGCAGAAAACACGGAGAACAAGCGGGACAGGGGACGAGCAGGGCTAGCGGTGGGCGAGGACTGCAACCTCACGAAGCAGTGGCTGGGGAAGACATGAGACTGGTGCAGTCCCAGAGAAGGGAGCCACCTTCAAGGAGGAGGAGGAGGCCAGGCCTCCATGCCACCCCTCCCTGCGGCCAGGCTGCCCGAATGACCATCCATGCCAAAATGGGGATTTACAAGGAACAGGAGGGGAGCCCAGGGCACACAGAAGACTGCAGGACCCCGGCCAGGTTCTCTCTGTTCCTGGGCAGGAGTCGAGGCCTCCGGACCATGGTGTTCCCTGAACGGGTCTGAGGTTCCAGAAGAGGCAGCTCACCCGGGAAGGAAGGACTAACAAACCCGCCGAAGCCCGGGCCCAGACATACACCTCGAGGACTCTCCGCCCTGAAGGACACACCCTGGCCGAAGCAATGGGTGGGCCCGGGGTCCAGATGGCCAGAGGGCTTCCCAGGAGCTGTGATTGTTACTGTCTGGTTTGTATCTAATAATGTTGCACAGTCATTGGCTGTGTGATCTGTCCAACAATTACCTGCTAGAAACAAACGGGTATTGAGATATTAATGGGCTACAAGCTGCCTTCAGGGAAAGAAGGCTGGAGACACGGGCACAGGTGATCCAGGTGGCAGGGACTTTTACCCCCACGTCACACCAAATACGGAGTGAAACCGCCTGTTCCATGCATGGGACCCAGGAAACAGACTGACAGCACAGTGCTACTGCAATGAATGCTTTAAAAATTAAAAGGAAGACAGAGGGCACAGAGTATCAGGACACTCCAGCCTAAATCTTCCCGCAGGCTGCCCCACTCACGGATCCGGATATGTGGGAAGTGAGCAGAGTGGCCTCAGAGCAACATAAACGCCACGTGACCTCACTTACTCAGGAGAAAGGGCCCCTGACACTGCTAGTAATCCTAACAACTGGGCGTTCTTCAGATCTCTCTGAACAACCCACGTTGACGTTCAATGATCGACCAAACAGGTCCAGACTAGAAAGTGCCTGAACTGCTTTTTTTTTTTTTTTTGTGAGGAAGATCGGCCCCGAGCTAACATCCGATGCCAATCCTCCTCTTTTTGCTAAGGAAGACTGGCCCTGGGCGAACATCCATGTCCATCTTCCTCTATTTTATATGGGACGCCACCACAGCATGGCTTGACAAGCGGTGTATTGGTGTGCACCCGGGATCCGAACCGGCGAACCCCAGGCCGCCGCAGTGGAGCACGCGCACTTAACCACTTGTGCCACCAGGCCGGCCCTGAACTGCTTTTTTGAAGTCTGATTTTCCCAGATCCTCAACGACCTGAGGACGCAGGGAGACACTGATGCCCATCAAGGAGTGCGATGCCAGGGCCAGGTGTCAGGCCCACTCTGCTGCCAACCCCCACCTGGGCTGGCAGCAGCAGACACTCAGCAGGGTCCATTTTGTTCCCACACACGGCACCCCTGGCCAAGGCCCCAACACCCCATGCGGGTGCAGCATAGGACCAGGATGCACACGTCTGGACCCCCTGACATGGGAGGAGTGCCCCTAAGAGGCAAACTCAGGGTGGGGCCCTGGCAGCCCCTGACCACAGACTGACTGACAGAAGTCAAAAAGGGCAGTGTTTCCACACTGCTTCTGGACCTACAACTGGAGAAGGCCTTCACCTTAACAAGTAAGCTTAAACCAAGGCGACTTTCTGGGAACTTTCTTAAAAACCAAATCCGAGGTTTGTAGAAACATAATTACCATGTTTTAAGACTGTAGCTCATCTGCAGCTTGGAGGGTGTGTGTGTGTGCACGTGTGATGTGCATGTGTGTGTGTAAGGGTGTGTGAAGGGGGTCCCTCCACGTGCTTACACCCTGGACAGCCCACACCTGCCCCAGACGGGCACCAGGATGACCAGGAAAAAGGAGGTCACTGCCTGGAGTCTGCTTCTCCCTGCACCTCTCCCCCTGGTCTCAGCTTCCAGCAGGTTCCTCACCCCATGCCCAGGTAAAGCAGGCGAGCGGCCCCTTGGTGCTCCACAGGCCCCTCAGCTTCCTTGGTCCTGGCCTGGATGTTCCTTTACTGTAACCCCCCCGCTGGTCCCCAAGCAGACCCATGGGAGACCGGTCCCTCTGCATCCTCAGAACTGACCGAGGGCTGGGCACCGGAGGGGTTTTGGTGAAGGGACAACCCCTAGGGTGGGGCTGGGGGTGGGCAGGAGGGTGGAAAACAGAAGACGTGAACCCTGCAAAGAGAGCAGGCACACAGGGTCAGCTCAGGCTGAGCACCGCCCGACGCCACCAGGGGAAGCACGGCCTCCAGGCACAGCTGGACGTAGACACACACCTGCACCAGACAGAAGCGTGTTCTGTGGGGGAGGCGGGGGGGCACTACGACACACATGAGAGGCACCTCACACCTGGCCAAGTGCCTGGGGACGGCACCAGTCCCTGGATCTCCCAGTGTCCATGCCAGGTCAGGCGGCTGGCTGCGCCTCTCTGCGTAATTAAACATAACTGAATCTTTGAATGTCTACAGATTTTCATGCAGAAGGGGTCGACACCAGGTAAAGTACTGGTTGAGGCCTGTGTACCAATTTCTGGTCTGGGAGGGCCTTGTAGCCAGGACTGAATGGCAAAGCGGGGCCACTCCCTACCCCACCCAGCTCCAGGCCCCCATGGGGAGCCCTGGAGAACTCCAGAACAGGCTACCCTGACCTGTGGGGACAGGCAGGGAGGCCTTAATTCAAGGCTGCCGCAGAGCTCACAGGAGTTGTCCTAAATGCACAGCAGAGCAGGGAACAAAAGGACCTTCCTCCAAAGAGAACCAAACACCACCAGCTCCTCGGGGCTGAGGACCGGCCGACAGGACCCTGGAGGAGGCCAGTGTCTGGCTGAGAAGCACAGGAGGCATTTCCTTTCCTCCAACTAAACCCCATGCAGCACGTCACCCGGGGTGTGGGTTTCCTCACAACCCCAGCTGGGGTGATGACACTAACAATGACACTCGTCCACCCCACCGAGAAGCCGATTCTGGCTGGGGTGTCCCAGTGGTGGTAGTGAGCTTCCCAAGCTGGAGGGAGTCGATCATTCAGGCCAGGGAGGTGCAGGGCCAGAGGGGAGGGGGCAGGGGTTGAGGTGGAAGGGAGCCTGAGGGGAGGGAGACGCTGGCAGCCTCAGCTCCTGGGCCTCGTCTGCCAGGCTGCCGGCTTGGACACTGTGCTGAGAGAGGGTCAGGGAACCTCGTAGGGGTTTTATCAGGACAGGGAAAGCACAGCTCTTAGAACTTCAAATGTCCCTCTGGAATGACCCGTGTCTTGCTGGTGGCACCGTGAGGCAGGGCCCGAGCTCCCAGGGACAGAGGAGTGGAGTGTGCAGGGGCTCCACCCACAGCAGGGCCCACGTCTTCCCCTCCAGGAGCTGGGGTGACACCTGTCACCCCAGGATGGAGAGACCCTGCTGGGACGAGGGGACTGTCTGTGGCAGTCAAACCCTGAGGTGTGCAGTGGGGTGGTGGAGGAAGGAGTGATCAGAGTCTTGTCAGGGGCTCAGGGGGGGGAAGTGTCTGGGTGGGCGGCGGGGCAGGGGAGGGCAGAGGAGAGGGGCAGTGAGTATAGAAAAGCACAGAGATAGGGTAGATGGGGCCTCAGGGTCCCAGGAAGGTCCTGTGAGGAGCCAGGGGCGTCTACTAGCCAAGACTAGGGGGACGTGAAGTGGTCCTGGGGGCCCTTCTGACTCCCCTTCAGTGCCCCCAACCCAGCCAGGCCCCTCCTGGTCAGGGCTCTGCACCCAGGGCTGGGCCACGCTTCCTCCTCCGTCACTCCCGGGTAACAGGAGCACTTGTGCTCCCCATCTCCCAGACGAGGGCCCCAGGCACAGGAGGCGGCCATTTCCCAAGACCCCAGCTCACAAGGGGCACAGGCAGGACTAATCACCGCTCACCCTCAGACCCTCGAGATGGGAGAGGCACTCCCCACCCAGCAGAGGCCCAGCTCCCAGGACCCCCTGCCCAAGGCACTTGTTGTCAACACAATCACTGGGTCCTTCAGCCCAGGAGTCCAAAGGGTGACTAGATGTGAGACTGCCCCCGAGACCAGAGGAAGAAGAGGGGGCGGGGAAAGGGCAGGAGAAGGACAGCAGGCCTCCCAGGAAGGACTGAGACAGCCCCGTCCACCTGGAGGAGAGCAGACGTGGAGGCCAGCAGGAGCCACAGCACTGGGGGCTAGGCCTGCGGGCTCACAGGGCTGGGCCACTCAGGATTCTGAGCAGGGCTCAGCTCTGGGGACCCCTGCCCACCAAGAGGGGAATGCTGGCTGGGTGACGGTGTGACTTGGTCTTCAGCTCCTCCTCACCTGCCCTGGGCACCTCCTCACCCAGCCTGGGGCACCTCTTCACCCAGCCTGGGGCACCTCCTCACCCAGCCTGGGGCACCTCCTCA